TGTCTAGTATTTTCTGAGAGGTACAATAGTTATATTTGCTGGATTGTGTTATTTAGGCCCCAGTAAACAATGTATAAACTAATTGCTATGTATCTAAGTTGAGGATATCACAATGAAGGATTGGCTTTAGTTACCTGGAATGTTCAAGTTCCATCAAAATCCAGAGGTGAATGAATCAAATTCTCATCCATTCATCCTCTTGTCTCGTCTTAAAACCAATTTGTACGTCATAATGAGATGAAATAACCTATTTGCATAGTATCTATATAAAACAAACAATACAGATGTACGTGACATGTTTTTGTTCTTAGTGGGCTTTCGGTATGACTTATAGACATTGACAATCAGTCTCCATGTTTATTTGAGGCAGGCAAGAGGTAATAAATATATCTGTTTCACTGAGCTTCTAAAGCAAGGAGGAACCTTCAATTAAGCTTGTCAATGTGACAGTTAATTTAATACTGTAGATCATACATTTCAAATGAATGGTGCACAAATTATCCGTGAGTTTGCCTTTTGTACTGTTTTTAGGCTTTAGTTTGTGGACTGCAGACCAATGTTACTTATAGCCTTTTAACTTAGGCTGGGTTTAAAAGAAACAACTGCGTTTATTGCTCCACATGCTTTTGCTAATGCCTACATTAACACTAAGTTAGTAATATGGCTAATTATAGTAGTCCTAAGACCTGATTTATTGGAGAAATTACTTGTGATACCACAATCTGTGGCTTGATATCAAATCCATGATTATATGACGATCTTTCAACAAAACTTTCTAGGTATGGATGCATCTGTATCTGTACTGTCAAAGCAGACAGATCTTTTTGCCCGTCTCAAAGATGTAGTTGTTACAGATGTTGGTTCAAAGACTCTACATAAAAAGGTAAGCTGTTCAATGTGAGTCAGTTATTTTAAGTGGCACTCAGTGCTTCATGGTGTTATTCCATACCAGTTAAAATAGACAAGCTGAAAAGCAGTTATGTTTTAATCTTTACAATAGAGTTACTTCATTCAGATTGCCAGCAAGACTTGCATACTGAAATTTAAAATGAGCACTCCTAGGCAAGTGAGGTGGCTCAATTGAAGCCTCTTTGAGCTGAGGAGCCCAGAGGATCACAGATTACTTCAAGAAAGTGATAAATTGTTCTTTTAAACGACAACAGTCTGTGGTAAAGGAAAAGAGCTTGTTAGAACTGCAGGGGCATGCAACATTAGAACCATATAAACCCTACAACGTGGAAGCAGGCCATCACTTGGAGAAGTTTAAGAATTGGGCACCATGATGTTGGTCTGAAGTTTCATATATGTGCGTGGGCTGGGTAAGGACGGGAAGTTTCTTCCCATAATTGTATTAGTGAACCAATTAGGTTATACTTAACAATCCAATGGTTTGATCTTAATTTTGCTTGTTACAGCTTTAAAGTTCCAGATTCTTTCCAACCATGTCCTAATTTTCAAGCCGTCTTGGTGGGATTTAAATTTTCAGTCACTGGATTATTAGTATTGACTCAACCGAATTATGTTAGGGGCCTCTAAATTTTCTATTAGCTGCCCTTCATAATGCAGCATTTTCCCTACTTTTGATGTCAAGGCTAACTTAGTTTCCTGATTTTGCTTCGCTTCTTTTCCCGAATAATTGGGTTGGACATGCTCACTTCCATTCTGTAGACACTGGCCTAGAATCTAAGGACTTTTAGAACCTGCACTACCTCCTGCAGCCATCTCTTTTTAAAATCTTCAGAATCTCGGCCTTTAACCCAGGGAATTTGCTGACTTTCAAGTCCCAATAACTACTTGAGTACTATCTATTTGCATGTAATAAGATCCCTAATCTCCTTATTTTCATCAGACCTTTGTTTACCATTATTTCTAAAATGTTTTGCAGCTTTTTTTTAATTGTGAAGATGAGTACTAAGTTCTAATTTATTCTAATTTGTTCTAATTTATCTGCCATTTCTTTATTCCCTATTATAATTTTCTGTCTCTCTTTGTAAGTGGACCAGGCTTATTGTTGTAAGTCTCTTCCGTTTTACATGCTTCTAGAAGTTGTTAAGCTCTTTTGCATTTTCTACTAGAGTACTCCCATTTGATTTCTCTTTATCCTAATTATTTCTTGGTGCATTCTAAAATCCTGCTTTTCATTTTTTTGCCATCATCACTAGTTTTTTACTTGCTCAAATTCATAATTTGCTAACCATGGTTAGACCACTTTTCCCATGGCTTTCAAAAATCCTTTAAAGGAATGTGCACTTCTAACCAATTTGGAGTAAAATCTTTAAAGTTCATCATTGCCTAGCTATTTTTATAACTTTTGAATTAGTATTGCAATTTTCAATTCAACATCTCATACCTTCAGCGATTACTTTGGTCAGCCTTAAGACCCTTGATTTGAACTTTGATTTTGATCACAATTCTTGAAACTCATTTATTACACTCGTGTCGCTGAATCCTTCCTCAATCTGCAATAGTAGCTGTGAATCTGTCTGTTAACTTTATAGAGACCATTTCTTTTTATTTTTCTATTTTTCTATCTTTCTGATTGTGGACTGAAAAGGGAAAGGGAATCTTTAAGTCAAGGATGGTTGAAGGATCACTGAACTTCAATTTTGGTCTCCTTTTCTGAGAAAAGATGCTCTTGCTCTTGAGGGAGTGAAGTGAAGGTTTACCAGGCTGATTCTGGGGATGGTGTGTCTGATGTATGAGGAGAGATTGACTAGGTTGGGATTGCTGGAGTTCAGACGTATGACGGGGGATCTCATAGAGACTTAGGACAGGACTGGGCAAGGTAGATACAGGAAAGATGTTCCCGATGGTGCGTGTGTTCAGAACCAGGGGTCACAGTATGAGGATTCGCGGTAGACGGTTTAGGACGGAGATGAGACATTTCTTCACCCAAAGAGTGGTGAGCCTGTGGAATTCATTGCCACAGGAAGTAGTTGATGCCGAAACACTGAATGTATTCAAGAGGCGACTAGACATAGCGCTTGGAGCGCGTGGAATCAAAGGTTATAGGAAGAAAGCAGCATTAAGCTAATGAGTTGGATGGTCAGCCATGATTGTGAAGAATGGCGGAGGAGGCTCGAAGGGCCGCATGATCTCCTCCTGCTCCTATCTTTTATGTTTCTAAAATGCAAGTTACCTGACACCTGTTTTAAGTGCTGTTTACAAAGCTGCTTTCCGTAACAGTGGGGAAGCCCAGTTACAGACTAACCGGAGCTGGGGAAGGCTGTAGACAAATGGAGTTTCAGTCAGCAGCCTATAGCTGATTGATTTGTGGTATGGCAACCAGTTATCAATGACAGTTCTTCTGCCTGCCAACAATTATGTGATTGGTTCCCATGTAGCTGAACAGCTTCTGGATGAAGCCATTTGACTTCCAAAAGGGAAGGACCTGTTCCTTTTCTCTGCATTAAAACTAATCTCCAACCTGAAGAACCCAGTTTATTTTTTCCTCATTAGTTGCTGTAGCTTTTTAACTAGTAAATTAGATACTTTGTAAGTGTGAGCCACCTGCCCTACACCTCCCAAGTGAAAGTACTGGAAAAGGAAGATGATGGAGCAACGTCGTAACAAACCAAAAGGATCATCTCTGAACTGTCGGGATAGGGTCCATTGAACTGACTTACCTGCCTTTCCATCCTCCCGTAGCACCCGTGTGTTTTCCAGATCTAGGGGGAGTTGCAAGGGGTTTTAACTAGTAGAGTTGAACGCCATTGGTTTGTAATTGTTTGTGTAAATTGGGAAATTTTGCGTACCTTTATAAAATCTTAAACTCTTGCTCCGCGATTCCTAGAGCTGTTACTTGATTTCCAGTGAGGCTAACATCTTGTTATTTTCCCAACATAATGACCTTCAGAGCTGCACTTTTTTAAAAACATATCACCACAGTATGATTTCACACCAATGGATAATGTGACCTGACTCTGTATATTTTTAGATTGTTTCGATCATTGGTGATGAAGTCTTCAGCTTCAAGATGAGTTTATGTTCAAGTTCTACAGAGGGAAAGGACTACTTTGATATGTCAAAAGTGGATGGAGAGGTGACTTTGCAGATGGGTTGCATTCAGTTGGTCTACTTACACAAATTCTTCATGTCATTGTTGGTGAGTCTACTGCTTGCCAATTCTACGCAACAAATGTTAATTATCTCCAAATTCAACTATTCCAATGTGTTCTTGACTAGCCTCCCATCTTTCACCCTTCCTAAACTTGACATTACCCAAACTCTACCTATATCATAATCTGTGTCAAGTCCAAGTCATATATCACTTCTGTCCTGACTGCCTGCTGTGGGGTCATGCTGCACCATTGACTTGATTTTAATGTTTTAACCCTCCTTTATCAGATCCTTTTATAGTCATAGAGCTGTACAATATGGAAACAGACCCTTAGGTCCAACTCATTCATGCCGACGAGATATCCTAAATTCATCTGGTTCCATTTGCCAACATTTGGCCCATATCCCTCTAAATCTTTTCTATTCATGTACCGATCCAGATGCCTCCTTAAATGTTGTAATTGTACCAGCTTTCACCACTTCCTCTCGCAGCTCATTCGATACGTGCACCACCCTGTACGTAAGAAAGGTACACCTTAGGACCCTTAGCTCCTGGGTTAATACCCCTAGCCTATTCAGCCTCTCCCTCTGGCTCAATGCCTCCAGCCCTGGCAGCATCCTTGTCAATGTTTTCTGGACCATTTTAAGTTGAACAACATCTTTCCTACAGCAGGGAGACCAGAATTGCACACAATATTCCAGAAGTATCCTTAGTAATGTCCTGTACAGCCGCAACACAACATCTCAAGTCCTATACTCAGTGCACTGACCAATAAAGGCAAGTGTAACAAACGCCGCCTTCACCCCCACCCCCACCCCCGTGAACCTGTGACTCCACTTCCAAAGAACTATGAACCTGCGTCCCAAGGTCATGGCATTGCTTCTTCTTTTCTTTCCTTCCTTTAGCTGTACAATCCTTAAAGAACCCTATTGTCTCCTGATTCTGCCTTGTATGATTCCCTCACATCTTTCATCCTGAGACTGACAGTTATGACTACAGCTCTCCAGGCCCTAAACTCTGAAATTCGCACACTAGACCTCTTGTTCCTTCTAAACTCCTTTAGGTCTTTGCTTGCAGTTTATTCACCTTGAAGCATTTGGTCATTTGCCCTAATGGTACCTCCACTGGCTCGGTTTAATTTGTTTGATTTTTGTTGTAAATGCGGATGTTTTACCAGTTGAAGGTGGTATTCAAATTTAAGGTATTGTCTTAGAGAGAGATTGGAAAGATAATCTGAATGTCATTCAGGAGTTAATTTGTAAGAGGATACTTTGCCAGGTATTGTCCTGGCTCTTTCTGCTACAAAACCATTGGCTAGACAATTGTGTATTCTGAGAGATTTAGGGTATCGATTATAGAAAAGACCTGACGTTGTGTTTCGAATCATGTCATTATTGGTAAGAATGCTGCTTGTCAATTCTCTCCTGATTCAGGCACCTACTACCCTCTGTATTTTTAAAAAGAACTTGCCTTACACATCTCTCTTAAACTCTTCCCCCCCCCCCCCCAACCTCCTCCCCCACTTAGTTTAAACCGTGTCATTAGTCAATCTAGGCAGCATCCTGGTAAACCTCTTCTGTACCCTGTCTACAACCTCCATGTCCGTCTTTATAGTCCGAGGACCAGAACGGCACACAGTACTCCAAACGTGATCTGACCACAGTCTCATATAATTGCAGTAGGACTTGCCAACTTTTATGCTCAACACTCTGATCGATGAAGGCAAGCATGCCGTATGCTTTCCTTGCCATCTTATCCACTTGTGTGTCATTTTCAGGGAGCTATGGACTTGGACCCCAAGATATCTCTACATCAGTGCTCCTAAAAGTCTGGCCATTTACTGTACACTTTTCTTTTGCATTTGACCTTCCAAATGCATCACTTCGCACTTGTCCGGATTAAACTCCGTCAGCCGTTTCTCTGCCCAACTTTCCACTGATCTTTATACTGCTGCATCAGTTGATATCCTTCCTCGTTAACCACAACTTCTTCGTTTTCATGTCATCGGCAAACTTACTAATCAGATCACTGATGTTTTCATCCAAATCATATATATTAGAATTAAGAGGTCCGGCAGTGATCCTGTGGAACATCAGGACCTCCAGTCAGAAAAATACCCCTCCACAACTACATCTGTCTTCTATGACCAAACCAATTTTGTATCCAACTTGCCAACTCACTGGATTCCATGTGATTTGATCTTCTGGACCAGCCTACCGTGAGGCACCTTGTCAGATGCTTTCGTAAAGTCCATGTAGACAATATCCATTGCCTTGCCCTCATCAATCATCTTTGTCACTTCCTTAAAAAAATTAATTAGGTTTGTGAGTCAAGACTTCCCCTGCATAAAGCCATTCTGACTATCCCTAATAAGCCCATTCTTCCAGATGTCAAGACAGCTTCAGTGGGAGGGACACAAGCGGGAGGAGTGTACTACAACTTGAACTCTTATCCTTTGGGAGTTAACTCCGATGGAGAACATGGCTGAATCAAGACAAATTGCTTTGTTTCCTCTGTAGATGATGTCACTGTCATTTCTCTTTGAAAACCAAGCTGACAGCAGGCATCACTTGTTTGACTGAGGTGAACAGGTTTCAGCAGCAATCAGTGCCATATTGTGAAACAGTAGAGGCTTGATTTGAACAGGCTGTTTTGAGAACACTTTGTGTTGTGTTCCCTTCCAATTGTTTCGATTTCCCTATTTTATAGGGAGGATTCTTTTGCGGGTTTTCTGTAAAAGAAATGTTAATTCTGTTTGTTTTATGTCCAATAGAACTTCTTTGACAACTTCCAAGCAGCAAAGGAAGCATTAAGTGCAGCAACAGCACAGGCTGCAGAAAAAGCAGCCTCCAGCGTGAAGGATTTTGCCCAGCAGAGTTTCCGACTGGCAATGGACATCAATTTGAAAGCTCCAGTTATCATCATCCCTGAGTCCTCTGTCTCTGTGAATGCTATTGTGGCAGATTTGGGTTTGATTACTGTGCAGAATAAATTTTCTCTGATCTCTACTGAAGAATGCATGCTGCCACCAGTGGTGGACATCATGGAGGTTCAACTAACACAGCTGAAACTCTCACGGTATGATAAATGCAGAATAATTTATTCCGCAGATTGTTGTCCAACCTGTCAAGGAAGTGATTTCTGTTACAACTTTACTCAGATGGTTGTCTGAGAAGAGGAGAGCAATTATTTCCATTGTTGTTGATACTGTGAAGTTTTCATTTATTTTATGATTTATCTTTGTCCATCTCTGGTACTTTGGAGAATCATTCTTTGTTGTAAATTCTGGATGCTGCATTTAGTACAGTGACTGAGGTGATTAACCTGTTTGGCATTCTGCAGATAAAGTTGGGGGCAGAGGACTGTTTTCAGTTAACTCTTCCCTTTCTAAAAGTTGTTTAAATGATTGTTCATTCATGTGATTGTAATCCTGTGTTCACTTTTGTTGTACAAGATGTGCAATAGGTTGATTAGGCAAAGAGAAGGAACTGATTGGCAGTGGAGAGCGCACTTCATCAGTGGAAGTTTTTTAATTCAAACAAGCCACCGTATTTCACAAGTTATACCATTAAGACAAATGTTTTTAATCACTTATTAAAGGCCACATTTCCTTGGACTGTGGACTAAAAATTGAAAAGATATTGCTTTAAGCCAAGGAAACTACATAAGGTTTTTGCAGTTTTAGAAAAAAAGTTACTGGAATAGATTGAGAGTTGCAAGTATGATGTTGTCTATTGGAACAGTGGGGGTGGGGGGATGTCTAGATAAGTTGACACCACTGTCTGTGTTCAGTGTGATTAGTGTGTTCAGTCTTATAATCAGCATTTCAGTTGGCACTAAAGGTTGTGGGCTTGAGAACTCAGTGTAGTAACAACCTTCTGATTGGACTGGCTGAGGTTTAACATAGACCCTGTTGAGGGCAATGAAAACAGAAGACAGAGCCCTCAAAAGTTTGCTGCATCAACATCTCTCCCAGCCCCTTTCCTCTGAAAAGTTGCTGTCTCTGATTCTTTGTCAAAAGAGCAGGGGAGAAACGGCATTCAGGGTTGCTAAATGGAAAAATACTAAAGCTAACACGAACAAGACAGTTGCTAGGTCCAAACAAGCAACCAGTGAACTAAAGAGTGATAGTTGCTCTGTGAATAACATCACGGCATCTTCGAGGAGATGAAAAAGACTGAAATCAATGCATCTAATTTTGTGACTGGTGATACAGAACTCTGTTCCCCAAAGTCTTATTTTTCCCTCCACTGATAATATCTGTGTACCTGTTTTACCTTGTGCATGGGAGTTTTAAAAAAGGTCTAGTTACATAAATGTGAAATCCTGCCCTTTTGCTGTTCATGTTTAAGTTAAAAAGAAATTGATTAGCAATTCATCTGATCTTGATGTTGGTTGAGAACAGTTTTAAAGATGAGAAATAGTTATTATCCACGGGGAAAAATAACCTGTTGTGCATATTCCTTTAATCTGAGTTAGGCAATTAGGTAGAATTGGACAATTCAGTGCTTTAATTGAATTTATGCTGACTTGGGGAGCAGAGGGGTTTGATTTACAGTATACTGTCGCCTGTGAGCTGCAGCAATCCCTAAAATGGCCAAATTATGTTTATTTTATTCTACATAGTAGTAATGAAGTGAGATTTCTACCTGGTCTCTTGAATAAACTCAAGAATAACTCCTTTATTAGAAATAAATCTAGTTCACAACAAAGCTATGTTCCAGAATTAAACTAAATCCCCTTTAACTCAAGTGCAAACAGCCACACAAACAAGACAATGCAGTTCTGCAGACATATTTTGAAAAAGGAAAAACAGATACCATGTGAGCCAGTGTTCCAAACTCCAACGATATAATGGGATAACTTCTCATGGTTCCCTGAATTTCCTGTCAACTCCTGTTTTGAGATCAAAATACTGACTGCTGTATAGTGATGGAATATCTTCAGAAGTCAATTCAGATGGAAAGTCAATTAGAATTGATTCTTTGACTGGATGTAATAGTGCAACTTTCAGATTTTAAGATAGTCAGGAACTTTCTCGGGTCTCCAGAAGTTCTTGACAGCAAGAACTGTGTAGACGTTCCTCCTGTAAAGTTTCCTGTAACTTTTTTGGGAGAGAGTGTTGTTTAATGCGTACATCAGAGGTCTTTCATGGTCTTTCCCAGCTGTTCTGGAAAAAACATGAACGATCTCCAGAAGAATGTTGCTACTCACCTTTCAGCTCATAGTCTCCATTTCTTCCAAACCAGGTTTAAACAGCCATTGAAGGCATAAACCACACCCCTTATCTCTATCAAAAGCTTCATTTGTCTCCTTTCCATGGATACTTATCTTTTCAATAATTAACAAGTGAACCAGTGCTGACATTACTGTTGTGAACCATTCTAAATTTCTTATCCCTTCAAAACCTTGGTAAACCATTTTTAAATACAGAATGTACACAATTCCATATTTCAATTCCTTTCAGTCCTTAAGCGTGCAATCCCAATATCTGAGTAATCTGAAAAGCTATGAAATATGGCTTTGGTATGATATGTTCCTGCCAAGATTTCTGGCAGTGTTGAAAGCATCATTGTGTCAGCTTAAATAATATTCAGTTTCAATCGAAAGAAGCTCTAGGTCTGATCAATGTGTGATTAAATGTTATGTACCTTGTGTGATGGAAAGCAGGGTAGTGTGAGCACGTAAGTAGAGGTGACAGCTTTTTACATGATCTTCAAAGTGTTCACTCAAGCTTCATTGAACCACATTCATGAAGTTGTTGAAGGTGCAATTTTCCATGAAACATTATCTATTAGAGTGTTTGGATTTGGTCTTACAATAATGACGTCTGTATTTTTGTTGATCTTTTGTACTTCTTGCATTCTTTTGCTGTTGGCGATGGGGCTACTGTAAGCAGTTCAGTTCTAGTTTCTTGGAATCTCTGTCTTCTCATTTCAGCACTATTCTCCAGAAGGACTCAGCGCAGCCTGATTTTCAGATTTTGCAGCCAGTGAACATGCTGCTAACAATAAAAAGAAATCTGGCTGTAACATGGTATCACAAAATCCCTGGCATAGAAATAAATGGAGATCTAAAAGCAATGAATGTAAGTATTTTGCAAAGGCTTTGACGAAATATAGAAATTAATTTGCTGCAGTATTAAATGCAGTATTACACTCTGACATTTGGATGTTCTGTTGTTGGTGAAAGCCTTCACCTGTCAGTTGAAGAATTGTTGTCAAGTTGGCAATATGCTAACATGATCAGGTATTGCCTCATTCCCTACAGCAGCTATGCCCTGGAATAAAACAGCAAAACAGGGGAACTGTTAGTAATATAATGGTGTTCCACTTGGCTTGTTTTCATATTCCTCTGACCTTCCTATCTGATGTTATACAGTCAGTCTTTAGTAATGAGTTCTGTTTTATCCCCTTAATTTCAACCTCTGTGAATTGTGAGCCTATCACCTGAGGTCTGGTTTTTTTGCCTCCCTGCTCACTTCTTTGACCAGGAGACTTATCCTACACAGTGCCTTCAGGATTCTGGTTCCATGTTCACCCTTCTCTCCGGCCTCTTGGTCTTTTATGGTTCATTTCATTTAGAACTGCTGGTGTGGCATCAGCTGTCTCAACCTTTCTGCTGACCACAATAACTATAACTCTCTCCTTTTTAACTTGGTGCACTTTATTCTCTCCAGTCTGACTCGAACATTGTCATCAAACTTTTAACATACAGACCTTTACTGAGCGGAAGTCATATCCAACTTTTTGACACCACTTCTGGTCTCCCTCTGGACTACTTTCCTGCTGATCGTCAAGATTTGTTTTTAAGACTGTCACAAATCTCGTTCCCCTGTGAATGACTTCCCTCTCGAGCTGACTCTGAGCAGTCCGCTTCTCCTTCCTTTCCAAAATCCACAAAACTGATGATCCTGCTCCTCAAGATAGGAGTTTTTAGTTTCCTGGCCCTACTTCCCTGCATTTCCATAATTCCTACCAAAATGATCTGAGGGCTGTGTGTTTTATGAACAGAGGCTCTGCCAGTCCCTAATCATGAAACGTTTTACACATTTGGGGGCAGAGGGGAGGGAATTGTTTGCCAATTGAGTAATTTCTTTAATTGCACTCATTTTCTCTAAATAAAAAGTTTTACTGCGGCATCTATAGATTTCGAACTCTGCTGGCCTTTTTGTAGTATGTACAGAATATCCTTTGTTTCAACTCTGTGTGGGTCTCCTTGGATTTCTGCATCAGTGTGGTTTTCTGCTCTGAACTGGAATATTTCCAATAGCTTTCCAAATTGTCACTCTTCTCTTGCGTTTATACAGTCCACCTCCAACTCTGTCATTAGGTTATTGACCCATATACACTATAAATCTGCATTGTTTCTTGTAGCTACATGAATTAGACTTATCCACTCTCCTTTCCTGCAAGAACTCTATTGCATTCTCTTGTTGTACCATCTCTATTCCAATTGACAATGCAGCCTCCTACACCAGAGTTTTTGATATGTCTTCTCTTTTCCTCAAACACAAAATGTCCTTCTCTGTGACAGAGCCGTGATCGTGTCCATTCCATTTCCTGTTCTTTGCTGTCATTCCTCCATCCACCCCCTAGCACCACGTTTATTTCCTTTGTCCTCTCACTCCAGGTTCAAGCATCATTGCTGTTCTCTTTATACTACCCAGTTGATGCCCATATGGAATGGATCTTCCCATCTTTGCTTTCGGCATTCCGAAGGGATGGTTCCTCTGGTAGACCCTGTTCTACTCCTTAGTCACCCTCAGCATCTCCTCCCCTTCCTGTGGCACACTCCTAAGTCATGAAACAAGATGCAACATCTGCCCTATGATCTCCTCTCCTCACTGCCCAAGCCCCGCTGTTGTTGCAAAGGTGGAAATAGGCATCTTAGTGACGAGTGAATAATGTAGATGAAAGCTCATCTCTGTGTCAGATATGACCCTGAGTTTGTGAACTCGCTGGTACCGTTCCAGCTTGATGCCAGGAAAATTGATGAGAGTTTCTAGCTAATGATTGAGTTCGTAGTTGGAGGCTTTGCCCTTCCTAGCATACAGTTGGAGGGTATGTCTGATTATTCAACGTTGTATGTCAGACCAGCAGAGGTCATGGTGAAGTAGCATGGATGTCGTCAGTATATGTGTAGAGCCTGATGCTTTTTTGGATATTTTCGTCAGAGAGCAGCATATCAATGAGAAACATGTACTGCCTTAACATTGTTGATCTCTTCCAGATTTTCATACAATAAATACCAGACTAAAATATTTCGGATGTTGGAAATCTGAAAATGCAGAGTAGGTCAGATGGCATCTATGGTGAGGGAAGTGATTGCTGACCTTTAATCACAATAGAAAAAGCTGATGAAAGAGTCGTAACTTGAAATGTTACTTTTGGTCTTTATGCTTGGATTTACATCATAAATAAAGCTAAGTAAGACATTATCCCATGACAGTTACTGTGGAGAAGGATATGGAAGCTAGAGAACTTGGGAAATAAATGACGTCTGGAAAAATGTCCATGTTACAGAGGAGGTGGTGCTGGACATCTTAACGGTGGATAAATCTCTAGGACCTGTTCATGTGTACCATTAGAACTCTGAGGGAAGCTGGGGAAGTGATTGCTGGGCCCCTTGCTGAGATTTTTGTATCATCGATAGCCAGAGGTGAGGTATTGGAGGACTAAAGGTTGGCTAACATAGTGCCACCATTAAGAAAAGTGGTAAGAAAAAGCCAGGGAATTATAGACTGGTGAGCCTGACATTGGTGGTGGGCAAGTTGTTGGAGGGGATTGTGAGGGATAGGATTGACATGGACATATTAGGGATAGTCAACATGGCTTTGTGCATAGGAAATCGTGTCTCACTAACTTGAGTTTTTTGAATTAACAAAGAGGATTGATGATGGCGGAGTGGTGGACGTGATCTACATGCACGTCAGTAAGGTACTCAACATGGTTCCGCATGGTTAGGTAACATAGAATAGAGGGAGAACTGGCCATTTGGATACAGAACTGGCTCGAAGGTAGGAGCCAAAGGGTGGTGGAGGGTTGCTTTTCAGACTGGAGGCCTGTGACACAAGGATTGGGGCTGGGTCCACTGCTTTTTGTCATTTATGTAAATGGTTTAGATGTGAACGTAGGGATGGTTAGTAAGTTTGCAGATGACACCAAAATTGGTGTAGTGGACAGTGAAGAAGGTTTCCTTAGAGTACAATAGGACCTTGATCAGGTGGGCTGAGGAGTTGCAGATGGAGTTTAATTTAGATAAATGTGAGGTGTTGCATTTTGGTAAGGCAAATCAGGGCAGGACTTGTACACTTAATGGTAAGGTCTTGGGGAGTGTTCCTGAACCAAGAGACCTTGGGGTGCACGTTCATATTTCCTTGCAAACGGAGTCGCAGGTAGACAGGGTAGTGAAGAAGGCATTTGGTATGCTTTCCTTTATTGGTCAGTGCATGGAGTACTGGAGTTGGGAGGTCATGTTGTGGCTGCACAGGACATTGGTTGGGCCACTTTTGGAATACTGTTCAATTCTGGTCTCCTTGCAATCAGAAAGATGTTGCGTAAGTTGAGAGCATTCAGAAAAGATTGATAAAGATGTTGCTGGGATTGGAGGGTTTGAGCTGTAGGGAGAGGCTGAATAGGCTCTGGCTATATTTCCCTGTAGTGTCAAAAGCTGAGGGGTGACCTTTATAGAAGTTTATAAAATCATGAGGAGCATGAATAGGGTGAGTAGCCAAGGTCTTTTCCCCAGGGTAACCGAGTCCAAAACTAGAGGGCATAGTTTTAAGGTGAGAGGGGAACGATTTAAAAGGGACTGAAGGGACAACTTTTTCATGCAGCGGGTGGTGCGTGTCTGGAATGAGCTGCTGGAGGAAGTGGTGGAGGCTGGTGCAATGACAATATTTAAAAGGTATCTGGAAGGGTAAATGAATAGGAAGGGTTTAGAGGGATATGGGTCAAATATGGCAAATGTGACTAGATTGGCATGGCGAGTTAGACCGAAAGGTCTGTTTCCATGCTGTACAAATCTATGACTCTGACAGGAGTTGAATCAGTCGATGAATTCTTTTTACAGGGAAATAGGAGTTGGCTTGAAAATGAGGAACATTAAAATATGGAGACCGATCAGATTAGCTTGTTCACTGGAAAAAATGAACATAAACTTGATGGTCAAATGGCCTGCTTCTGTGGTATTATTTAATTGTGGAAATAACTTTGAAATGTTTTGATGTAGAATGTAGCAATAAATGTAATTAAACTTATGGGTAAGTAGACCAGAATCGATTAGTTTCAAGATCGAGGTTTGCTTTAGTCAGTGCTAATGCTGTATTGATTTGATTGAAATTCTCAATCTAAGATGATCCTTTATATTAGAACAGACCAAACAACGGCAGCCTGATTATCATAGCAATGATTTATTGTACATGTGCTTTAAGTGGAAAAGTGAAAACCTCCCAATGAAACAAGAAGTAGAAAGTGCAACTCAGTGGAGGTTTGTGGCTAGAAAATGAATCACAGTTGTGTATTTGAAACCACTGTGCAGCTGTTTCTCAGGCAATATGCCTCACAATATGCTTCACCATATCACTCGAATACATTTTGCTTCAGTAAGCCTGGCATATTGTACAGTATTGTGGCTCAGTGATTAGCATTGCTGCCTCACCGTGCAAGAGACCTGGGTTCAGTTCCACCCTCAGTGGGGCGATTGTCTGTGTGGAGTTTGCATTTCTCCCTGTGTCTGTATGTTTCCTCCCACAGTTCAAAGAATTACGGATGAGATGGATTGGCCGTGCTAAATTGCCCATAGTGTCCAGGGATGTGAGGCTGGGTGGATTAGCCAAGGGAAATGCAGGGTTGCAGGGATAGGGTCTGGGTGAGATGCTGTTCAGAGGGTCAGTGTGGAATTGATGGGCTGAATGTCCTACTTCCACACTGGGATTCCATGATCATTGTGATATCAGTTTGACTATAAATTTAGTTATTCTTTTTACTTACTTAATAAGTGAACTGCAGAATGATAATTATTTTTCATTGTTTGAGCACCTGAATCCATTAGCTGTTCATGACTTAGTTCCTAATTTTAGAATCATGATCATAGAACCCCTACAGTGTGGAAACAGGCCCTTCGGCCCAACAAGTCCACACTGAACCTCCAGAGCACCCACCCAGACCCATCCCCCTATAACCCACCTAATCTACACCTCCCTGAACACTACGGGCAAGTTAGCATGGCCAATCCACCTAACCTACACATCTTTGGACTGTGGGAGGAAACCAGAGCACCCGGAGGAAACCCACGCAGACACCGGGAGAATGTGCAAACTCCACACAGACAGTCGCCCGAGGCCGGAATCGTACCCGGGTCCCTGGCGCTGTGAGGCAGCAGTGCTAACCACTCGGCCACCGTGCCGCCCCAGTTTAGACAGCACTAATGCCTAATGTCATCTGTCTTGAATCTGTATGGATTTACTTTAACATAATATTTGAAACTTCCTATATTTCTGTTCAATAAATTTAAACTGTGTTTGTAATAGTATTGACCCTTTTTATACAGAGCATTTGAAAGTTTGTAGAAGCTGTCCTTCATTCCTGTAAATGCAGTGTTCTGCATTCATTAACACCTGCCATATTTTAACTCTTAACAACAATTATTTACATATACCAGCCTGTACTAAAATGGTAGCTTCTAAGTTTGATGTTGTGGTGTTCGTGAAGGATGTGGGAACAGTTAGGAATGAGAAGAGGCCATTCAAGCCATTGCCCCTCCAGCTGGCTTACTTCCATTGTGATTTCTGATTTTTCTGTCTTGACAAGAAGACTTGTCCTTTCATCGTTTTCTTCTCCAAAAAGAACAGTCCTAGTTTGTCCACACAGCTAAATTTTCTCATCCTGAAACTAATGTTGTAAATCGTTTCTGCATGCACTTTTTTTTTTGTTTCAATGCCTTAACCCTTCTTAAATTGCATTGCTTAGGCTGGTCTGAGTACTCCAATTGAGTTTTTATACAGGTTTACCCTTCATGCTTTTCTAACTGATGTCCCTAGTTGTAAAGCCCATGATACCATATGCTTTATTAACCACTTTCTCAACCTGTCATGCCACCTTCAGTGATTTATGCACGTATAAAAGCAGGACTCCTGATCTTTTACCCATTTTTAGCGTAGTACTCTTTTTATATTGTCTCTTCACATTCTCTCAACCAGAATGAATCACATCATAGTTCTCTGCACTTAATGTCAACTTCCATTTGTCTGTCTATTCCATGAACTGGCTTTTGTCTATTTGATGCTCTACACTAACCACCTTAACAATACCTTGTCAAGTGTTGTCTGTGAATTCTGTAATTAAAATCTTATGCATTTAGGTCATTAATTGACATGAGGAACAGCAAGGATTTTAACACTGACCCCTGGAAGTCCTCTGCTGGAAACCTTCTTTCAGGTTAAAAAAGCAGCTGTTAACCACTACTGTTGAATGTATTTCAGTCAATTTTGGTTCAGTGTAGCTTTTGTCCCTTTTATTCCATGGGCTATAACTTTGCTCGTTTTGTGACATTTTATCAAGTGCCATTTGGAAGGCTACATCTGCCACATTAACAGCAATGCCCTCATCAACTCTGGTCACCTTGCCAAAAAAACATGCAATTTATTTAAACGTGAGGTGCCATTAAGGAAAGGCAGCATGAATTTTTTTAATTAACCCACATTTGCCCAAGTGACAAATTCTGGTGGGGAAAGTAGCTGAGCTATTTTCAGAAATGAGAGGAAAGAGAAGTTTGAAGAAGTAGATCAGAATTTTGAAAATAAGTGAAAGATTTTCCTGTTAAATGATTGGCTGATACGTAATAAATGCAGATTTTCGGAAGACATTTAGAAATAGATACCCCAGGAGGCTTATTCTTAGTCAGCAAAATTGTTTAGTTCTGCCATCTTTGTGACTGTAATCCCAACCCATGTTTAATGACTCAGTTTATTCAGCGCCCTACTGTTAGCTTTTCTTCCACTCATCATAAACTCCATATTGTTGAACCCTTTGTCCTTGTGTAATGAGTGAAATGAGGTTGGCAGAGGGGAATCTCCATTGAGTTCCCTGATTGGGACTGTTAACCTGGTCCAATCGGAGCCCTGGCTGACACACAAACAGGGGTCTAGACCCTGTTGTAGTGCAGAGGTAGTGCCCCGCCCCTCATCTGAGAGACCTAAGTTGCGGTCCTGCCTACTCCAGAGGTATGTAATAACATCTCTGAAGAGATTGATTAGAAAAATAAATATTTTTAAAAAAAAATTATAAGCAGGAGTCTCAGGGATTCTCCTCACTAGGGACTGACTCTGAGCTAGCTGGTCAGAGTCCATGTACTGTGCATGTGTAAATAAAGGGTGATTTGGTGACGGGATACCGGCCTCCGTGGAGTTATTTCACCTTGGCTTATACTACGCTAATTTGTGTCTATTCATCGCCTCTGACCTCGCTGATGTGCAATGGTTCTGGCCCTCAAAACATCTAAATGTAAATTTGGCAGCTTTTTCTTCAAAATATTCCATAACCTTGCACTGCAGAGATCTGGAATCTCTGTCTTATGCACTTGTGTCTCATTGCCGTTTGTACATCTTGGCTCTCTTTGCCTTTAACCAGTAAGACCTCTGTACTTTACTTTTTTAAAAATCTTGTCTTTACCTTTGAAAGAAATCTTGAGATAGGTTGATAAAGAATCCAGGTGTATTATTAACATTTACATTGAGAAAGCCATAAATGACACTCTTCAGAAATTCAGTTGTTCATAATTAATTGTTTACATAAAGAGTTTGAACATGTTGCTACTTAACAGAATGTCCTGTGTGCTCGCATTCCTGGTTATTTGTCCTTCCTTGTTGAATTGTAGATCTTTACACTCAAGCTGTTGCAGCAGTGTGAGATGGGGACAGTTTAGCTCATGTTGCCCTGTCTGTCTTACTGGCTATTGGTCCTCAATGGTGGGAAATCAATAGTGATATGAAGAAGGGAAAATTTAGGAAAAACACAACATATTGATGCTTGGTTTTCTTTGTCGCACCTTGTTTGCAGATTACAGTTAGTCAGGATGATTTGACAATCCTTCTAAAAATCCTGCTGGAAAACTTTGGCGAGGCCACAAGTGACAAGGATGCTGCAGTGGACCCAAAAGACTCTGACAAAATAACAGACAAAACTGTTGCTTCTGGAGCCAATCTATGCCAAGGTACTTGATCATTTGGAGAAGTTGACACATTGCTTCTCATCTGTGCTGGTGAATGAAAGATTATTACACAAGTTTCACTGGAAGCCAATGTAAAATCATCAGCTCGACCCACAGTGTAGTCTGTTTGTGTGAGCTAGAAGCTGCATACGTAAGTCCTCAGGACCTCGGTTTATGAAGGCAAAAGGAATTTGGACGTGCATTACACCTTTTTCAAAATAAAAGGGGTTATGCAGAAAGCCAAACTTTGTATCCCCTTGGTAACACCCTGACCAATCAGAACCATTCACTATTTTAGTGCACCCAAAAGAGGTAATCTTATACTTTCTGGATTAAATTCTCTTTGCCACTGTTCTGCTCATTTGGCCAACCGCCCTGTTGACTTTGCATTTGCAGAACAATATAAGAGCACAAGCTCTAGTCTACAGACCAGAACAATGCAGAGCGAATCAATCCAACACACAAATGGGGTCTAGGCCCGAAACGTCAGCCTTCCTGCTCCTATGATGCTGCTTGGCCTGCTGTGTTCATCCAGCTCTGCACCTTGTTGTCCCAACACACAAATGGGCTGGGATTCCAGCAAATGGATGAAATACTCCCTCCTGAAAGTAGCAGAATTAAATGAAGCTTGTTGCATAGTTTGATGTTAAGCTGTTATATGTTGTGTTTTATCACAGCGGTTTTAATCGATAAGTTTTTATTCACTGAATCCCGTACATCATTTTGCAGGCTATCCACAAGTGAAAGCAGGTGATGTGACTCGTGTAGAATCCGAACATAAACCTGAGCCTTATGAGACACTCCAGTTCGATTTCAAGTTTGAATCACTTTCGATTCTGTTGTATACTGAAGGTCTCAAACAAGTACGTAGCATGTTTGCTTCATCCACAGTTGAAAATAGTTGTCTTTTTAAAATCTGTCCATATTTGTCTAGAGCTGTGTGATCAAGAATGGTGTCTACAAGAATTTTTTTATAAAACATGAACAGAAATCAGAAGGACATGTTTATAATTAAAACAAAAGAGCATTGTAGATGCTGGAAATCAAAAACAGTGCTGGAAATAAAACATCTGATAGGCTCTGTGGAGCAGGTTAATGACTCAAGTCGACTAAAGCACTAGGTAGAAGTAGAGATATAATTGCTGCGTAGAATGGAGGGATGGGAAGAAAGTGTACAAGGGAAGGTCTGGGATAGGACAGAAGGTAGGAGAGATTAACTAAAATGTCATGGAACAAAAGGCAAATTGTAATGGCTGTAGCCAAGAAACAAGGCATTGATCCAGAGTGAGGCAGAATAATAAAACAGTTCTGAGTGACAAAAAATTGAATGGAGTAGATTTCATAGTACGAAATTGGTTAACTCAGTTTCAAATCTGAAAGGCTTTAAAGTGTCTAGGAATGTGAGATGCTATTCCTCAAGCTTCTGTTGAGTTTTACTGGAACATTGCAGCAAGCCAAAGACACAGATGCGAGTGTGAGAATAAGGTGGAGAATTAAAATGAGAAGCAATGGGAAGGTCATAGTCATGCGACTGTCAAACTGTTATGTAATTATTTTTTCGAGTAACTTATTTAGTTGAAGCTCCATTCTCGGTGATATTCATCTCATCCTCACTCAAAGGTTAATGCTAGTCTTGATAGGGTTGTTAATATTAAACTCTTTACAAGAAATAGTTTTTGTAAGTAGATTCATGTTTCTACAGTTTAACAGTTAATCAATCATTTTGATTTTCAAATAGAAAATATAAATATTTTCTGAGTTATTCCATCCACTCCAAAATATGATAGTTATCACAGTGTTGGATTTTATCTGGCAATTCCTCAATTTTAAGGTTTTCATTTTTGCCTTTAATTTCCACTACGATGTTGTCATACCATTTTCTGTACCTTCCTCCAACCGTACAACACTGATCCCAGTGCTCTAATTCTGCTGCCGTGTGCATCTTCAATTTTAACTGTTGGTAGCTGTGTTAATTATTGGCTTTGACCTTACTTGACTCCTCTAAGACACAGTGTTACCCAGCTGAAGTGGTGTATACTTCCTGTTTGGCTCAATGTCTGATATTGTGTTCCTGTGAAGCCCCTAGGAATGCTCTTATTATTTTATAGGTGCTGTATAATTGCAGTATAAATGATGGTGATCATTTAGTCATCATTAGTCAAGTTTATTTGCAGGCTAGAATAATTGCTGAAAACAGAAAATACACAGCCTGTAACTGCGAACATAATGCTTCCCTTTCACAAGACTTTGACCTTAGCTAGTGGTCAAATTCAGGCAAATGAGCCATCTTTAATTGGCATTTATATATTTGTGACAGTTTGTGGAAGGTTGGGGTTGATTTTCCAGCAAGCATTTCCATTAGGGTCATGACACTCTGAAAATCCTTCAAAATTGGCAACAAATCTGAAATTAGGCCAGTACAGCACTATCAGTTCAAATTGGTTAACACTGAATAAATGCTGGATATTGCAGGAGAAAGGACAGTTTGTTGAAGCTTTTCATCCTGTACTCATTAGGACAGTTTGACAAGAAATACCAATAGTGTAGCAACACGAGGAGTGTTTGCCGCTAACAGAAGGGTACCCTCAAGGCTGATGCTCTGCCTATTGCATAAAATAAGTAATGTGTTAAATGAATAGCATTTCAGGATAATGCTAGATGTATAGGCTGCACTTGCCAAAGACTTGTGGATCCTATCCAACAGCTATCCCTTCGCTTGTTTGCAAAAAACAAGGTATTAACCGTACTCGGCCAATCATGCATGCAAAACTCAAAACAGAGTTCAATGCTGGATGTGATTTCATGGTTGGATAAAAATTGCTGAATAATTTTTGTGTTACAAATTACGCTGGAAAACCATTTAGGATTGTCACTTGTGCTCGTAGTGCAGTGCATTTGCGTTTGCTGGGAGCATGTCGCGATCTTTGCTGGCATAAAAGAATTTGGACTCATGTTGTGGCTATTTTAACTTCTTTTTTAAAAAAAGGTTGACAGCCATTCTCTGATTCATCTTTCAAGGTTGACCATTCAAATTTTAAAAAGAGTTGGCAGGTAACTGTCAATCACCAAATGACTGATGCATTCTCCATGTTAATGTCTCCATCTGTCATAATTCCCCTTCTCACCAATCAGCGCTTTTTTTTGATAGAGTACAAAATGGTTGTTTTCCCTTTTAAATTGGCGTAATATCCTCAGGATGAAAAGCTTTGACAAAGTGCCTTTTTTCAACAAGCTCACAAGCTCAAGTTCTGCGACATCATATGTCTGTGGTTAGATGCTGAGGGGCTAAAGACCTTGTTTTGAGAGGTTTCATGTCATCTGAATCGTGCCATTTAAATGAAATGATAAACGTTTGAAAAAACCATGTAGTGAACCTTAACGCCCATGTTTTGATCATTTCATTGAGTTTGGCTATTTATAGGTTGACACTTAAGTATTCTAAAATACTTTGGGCAAAGTAACGCAGTTTGTACACTCTCTGTACACTATTATAATTTGAGTGTGCAACTGTTACCAATTTGAGCGCTGACATTATTTTCTACAATTCAAAGTCAAATATACAGTTCAAAAGAACAGTCATATTACACTCGACACATTAGCTTTGTTTTCTGTCCAACCCTCCTGAATTTTTCCAAAATTACTTATTTTATTTCAGATTTCCAGCATTCCCAGTACTTTCAGTTTTCTTATTATCAGACCAGTAGTTAAGTATGACAGTTGGGGAGTGCTGCACTTTTGGAAATACTGTCTTTTGCGTAAGAAATTGAGTAGACTCTCAGTTTTCCCCCTTGTGGGCATGCGATCTTGCGGCACTATTTTCAGCAGAGCAGGGGAGTTCTCATGCCGTGGTCGATATTTAGTTTTCGACCAAGACACAAAGCAGATGCAAAAGCAAAATATTGAAGTTGCTAGAATTCTGACATACAAAGAAAAAATCAGAAATGCTGAGCAGACAGGTTGCTTCTGTGGCAAAGAACCAAGTTAGCATTTCCAATCCAAGACTTTTCATCAGAACTGGGAATTGTTTTGATGAAAAGTTGCAAACCTCAAAGGCTAACTTGGAGCAGATGAACTGATGTATGAAATTGGCTGCCCTATTTTCAGCCTTTAGAACAGTGACTGCATTTCAAAGCCATTTGGCTGGCTGTAAAGCAGTCTTGGACATCCTTTGCTTTGGAAAGGTGCTACGTAATTGCAAATGTTTGAGAGCTGACGTTGATGATCTACAGATATAATAAAACTAATTGCTTGATGTTCCGTTTACGATTCTGGATTCCACTTTCTCCCATTGCACGTTATCTGTTATTTGCATTTTGTGCAATACTTATTTTCTTGCAGTGAGACAGAAATTTGAATCTTTCAGCTCTCCATCCTGCTCCCATGCTGACCTTTCCATCTTTGGCCTAATAGTGCTGCAGTGAATCTTCACCCAGACTGCAGGAACAACACCATCTTTTCTTTTACCATTCTGGAGCTCCTTGAACTCAATTGAGTTGAACAACTTTCAGTCATCACCTTTGCTTCCATCTTGGTTCAGTGCACTTTTAAATTATTCCCACTATTTATGGCTGTTCCATAATGAAATATTTGTTATTTAATCCCTCCTGGCACCCAGCCTATCTCAGACCCTGTCGTTTGTTAATTCTACCCCTTTCAACTTCAACAGGCTTAAAAACTCTGGAGTGATTATCCAATGCATCAAAACGATGACTCTGCAAAGGTCAGCCATGTCATCACCAAATTAGGGACGAGGAGAATGGAGGTGACAGAGCAGAGCTCCTCTCCCCTGTGGTGTTTACAGTGTAGGACTTCTGGGATGTCACTCGTTATTGTGTTTACCCCACCTCCACTGCTGCGTCATCATTTGGTCCTGTTCAGTTTCCACATTTCCCTGGGAGGGGCCCTTCCCAAAGCTGGGAATCGTGAATGCTGAAGCTGTGCCTGTTCCCTCACAATGATGCACCTCCTCATCCAGGTAGTAAAATGGCAGCAGTGCATGCGCTGGCTGGTGATGCCTGCTGGCTGCAAAGTTGTGTTCCTGCATGTAAGCACTCATTGCACCACTTGGTGGTGGTGTTCCCAAAAGTGTAGCCGACAAGCTCTTGCATCTCTTTCTCTTCATTCTGATGAAAGGTCATCCATGCGAAATGCTTCTCTCCACAGATACTGCCTGATGAGCTGAATTTGTCCAACATATTTCATTTCTAATTTGAGATTTCCAGCATCTGCAGCATTTTGTTTAAACCTTTCAATCTGTATAGATAATTTTATTCATAATGCTACTCCAAACATGCTTGCAGAATGATGTTGTGAACTTTGCATATTGCAGCCCATTGACCATCTGCAGCGTCGAGAAAGATCATGCCTTGGGGAGTTCAGGTTACATCTCACCACAGCTTCAGGGATGATGTTCACAGATGGTTCGCTAGTTTTTGACATGAACCTCACCACGTGTACACTGGATGACCTAAGAGAAGGAATTGAAAAAGTTACACAGAGGTTAGAATGAAATAATTCTCTTTAATTCCTCTCATGCCGTTGTTATTGTCACTGATTATTTTGTTTGCTTTCAGATATTAATGACCTGGGGTACAGGGAAATTGAGCTCATCTAACATCACTTCCAAGGAGTATTATGTTAAATAATGTTAATATAACCATATGAATTAGGCACTGGAGTAGCTTTATTCCTGTAACTGGTGTAAACATTAAAAATTCAAATTTACGTGAACTTGAAAATTGCTTGTATTCACTTGGTGCCTATTTAGTTTTTTGTTGGCTTCTCTTTGCGCTCTCCTTCTTGAAAGTGCTTTTTATTATGTGTGTCTGCTTCTACTTTTCTCTACCTTTTGAATTTGCTCACTTCATTCCCCTTTTGAAAAGCATTTACATGTATCTGTTTCCTTCTTCGTCTTTATTCTTCTCATTTTTAAATTATCCAGCACTGGATTCACAAATAATTTACTGCATGAATAATGTTTTTATATGATCAGAATGTTTGCTTTCACTGCAGAATGATTGAAAAGAAACAAGGTGCTCAGGAAAAGGTCATGATTGAGTTGCGGTACAACCAGATGAAGGATGAGACATCTATCACTACTGTGCTGGAACATTTATACCTTTGTGCCAGTGTGGAGTTCTTGCTGAATGTGGCAGATTTCTTCATCAAAGCTATGCCTGAAAAATCAGCTGACAAATCTGTCCAGTTATATCCAAAGCAAACTGGAAAGGCTTCCCCTAGCAGTGGTTGGTATAGCTTGTTTGTGCATCCCAAGTCTTTTTTGAAAAAAAAAATTACTATATTTCTTTCTTTTCAAACAAAGTTTGCTCCTGAACAAAGTGGCACATTGATCAGCTTAGCCATTCCATGGTGAATAATTACTGAAATTTTGGAGGAGTAGTAGTATGTATTATCTCAGGAGCTGACTTTTCTTAGAAACTATTTTGAATAAAAATTGCATTGTGGTGTCATAATTCACAGTATTGGCATTCAATACTCAGAATGATTGATTATTTTTGGGAAAAAAATTTTAATCCAAAGAGAAAAAGTACAAGATTCTGCATTTTTAATAACTGCCACAAATGTAAAAGGACAATGTGAGTTTGCACTGTGAATTCTGTCTCACTTTATTTGTAAGCAAATGAGAATGCATTCATCCAGATTGTACAACTTTTAAGCTATTTGCTATTGCACACTAGTGCCATAATAGGTCATTCGCTTCATTTGGGGAATCACAGTTGGTACCAGGTTGTTACGCAATATTCTTGAACTTCTGGGTTTTGTATTTAAGAGGCCGTTTAAGTACATCAAAGAGAAGGGAATTGAGGGTTATGCTGATAGTTGGTTAACTAGTTAAGAAGCTGATTGCGCTAACTGGTCTGTATGTGCTATATTTTCCATTCCAGATATAAAAAGTCCATAATAGCCCAGTAGTTCCATGTAGATGCATTCCTGCATCAACACAAAAGGCTGATTTATTTGCTGTAAGGGAGTAGGAAAGATGAGCCAGCACGGTTTCCAGGTCTAGAACTGCCCCAGGGGAAATGGGAGGAATGGGAAATGGTCACTCATTGGGATTTTTACCAAGATGCTGTTAATTGGCAAGGAAATGTGTTCCCTGCCCTGTTAAGGGCCGCAGGCAAACTCTCGAGCTGGTCAGCTGATCGGGTGCCTTCCAACTTCACGGGAGCAGCTAACTGCAATGGCTGGTGAGTAACTAAGAGTGTGCTTTAACGTGAAGGTTCCCCTTCCAGCAACTTTCAAAAATTGAATTAGAAAATAGAAAAAGCAGTTTGGTGGAATGATAATATCCTAACTTTCCACTAAGTACTTCCCCTCAGGATGTTGAGCGGCCTGCCTAAGTCAGGAAATTGGAATCCGATTGAAAAATTCCACTTGGATTCCAATACCCGCTGTCTCTTAACAAGGTCTCTTAATGACCTAATTGGCTTTCTGTCTTGTGGGGGTGGCAAAAAATGGCTGATGTCAGAAACTAGGTCATGAAGCTTTCACATTTGTGAAATTTACAGCTTTGTTGGCCTGATTTGGTAATATGGGCAAGCATTGAGAATATAAGTCAACTGTTGTTTGCTGTAAATGTCTGATTATACTTGTATTTAAATGATCTATTCAAAATAAATGTCCCATAAATGTTCTCTAAGGAAAGGCATTTTATTTGATGCTATTTGTGTTGGATTTTGGGGCACTGTGCCAAACAATGCTCATTTTCCATTGGCTGATCCAATAATGCTGTTGTTTCTCACACTTTAGCTATAGGCACAAGAATTAGTCATATTTAAAAAAAGCTTCCATGTTTGATGACGTGCATATTTTATATTCTTTTTATTCACTTGTGGAATATGGATGTCGCTAGCTGGCCAGCATGTATTTCCTGTCCCTGGTTGCGCTTGAGAAGGTAGTGGTGAGCTGTCTTCTTGAACCGTTGCAGTCCACATGTTGTAGTTTGATCCACAATGCCCTTAAGAGAATTTTGGGATTTTTTTTATCCAGTGACAACAAAGGAATTGCGATATTCTTTCAAGTCGGGACAGTGAGTGACTTGGAAGGCAACTTGCAGGTGGTGCATGAAATAATTCCGTGGAGGCTGGCATCCCTCACCAAGTCACCTTTTATTTACATATGGAGAGTCCTTGACATTGATCCAGCTCCCTCACAGCCAGCTCTGAGTGAACAGAACCTGTGACGCTCCTGTTTATATCTTGTCAGCCAGGATTCCCTGATTGGATCAGATTAACAGTCCCAATCAGGGAACTCGTATTTACAAGTCTACCTGGCTGACCTTGTTACAGTCACTACAGTGGTGTTCCCGTTTAATGCACCATTCAGGCTTTAAACCTTTCTAGGAAAGAATATAGATCTTAGTTAGGTTAGTTGTCAGGCCAGCTATCACTTCTCAGCAATCCCAAAGTCTCCACATGAGCTGTGCAAGTTGTAAGCTGCTTAAGCAGCTTTACATCGAGAAATTGCATTCAAAATAATTAGTTGGACCATTCAAATCGGTTGTCTTTTTCAATTCTGTAGAAGTGTTTAACTTTCCAAATTCAACTGGTGTAGATACAGAACAGCAACCGAATAGATTAGAGAGTTTGCTCTGATGCTTTTTCTTCTAATTCAAGAGATGAGGGCATTACCAATTAGGCCAGAACTTATTGCTTTTGAGACAATAATATTGACTTGCCTTCTAAAATATGAGAATAGCTTGTCAGTCCATCTTGAGGGGCTGTGAGGGAAAATCATATTGCCTGTGGGGCTGGAGTCACATAAGTTTGGACTGTGATGATAGATTTCCTTCCCTAAAGGATATAAGTGAACCACATTGTTTTCGATTGGATTCGATTCCACCCTCTGGCGACTGTCTGTATGGAGTTTGCACATTCTCCCTGTGTTTGCATGGGTTTGCTCCGGGTGCTGTGGTTTCTTCCCATAGTCCAAAGATGTGCAGGCTAGGTAGATTGACCATGGGTATTTGTTCATAATGTCCAGGGATATGCAGGCTGGGTGGATTAACATGGGGAAATGCAGGGTTACAGTGATTTGAGTGGAGAGGTGGGTCTGGGTGGGACGCTCTTTGGAGGGTCACTGTGGACCTGATGGGCCGAATGACCTGCTTTAAACACTGTAGGGATTCTGATTCTTATAACCCAAAGTAAACCAAGGTACAAAACATCAGACTGTTCTCTAGTTTTAAGCTCCTATCACATGGAATTCATAACAGCATGAAGTTTATCGTACCGATCCAATTACCTAGAAATCTGTACATTAGGTTATAACAAATCTGTCCAACTATTCTTGTAACTTATTTTATTTTTCATAACAATTTTGAAATGCACCTTTTGATATTTTCAGATTTTTTTGTGAATTCCTGTTGAAATAAATGAATAGAATATTTTGTTCCGCAAATTAAGAATGTAGTCTTATGAGACTACACTATGGAAATTTTGTGCTCTCTGTCCATATGGATATTTCTTGGTCATATTTCGTACTTGCAGTCTGACTTAACTTGGTTTTATTTTGTTCCAGCTGTAGACACCCCAAAAGAGAAAATTAACGTGAAAGTACTGGTGATGAATCCTGAAGTTGTGTTTGTGGCAAACCTGTCAAAAGCAGATGCCCCTGCGCTTGTTGCTTCATTCCACTGTGACTTCTCGTTCATCTGTGAAAAGCAGTCCCATAAGATGATCGCCCTTGTCAGTGACCTGAAGGTTCTCGCATGTCCTTTCCTCCGAGAGAAGAGAGGAACAAATATAACCACGGTAGGAGCAGCATCTTTGTGGATACAACTGGGTTTGGGCATCCATAATTCTTTGTACTTGTAGAAATCTCATATTGATGCCATGGCCAAATCAGAAGCATCCCTTGCTGACCAGCTTTGTGCCATTTTTGGTGAATGTGTTCAAGGGGCTACCCTACCTCTGTTTCTATCTTTTAGTTATTGTTGGCTGTTAAATCCAGGAACGTGGAATAAAACATTAGTCTTTGAGAAGCTTGGAAGTTATTGTTTTATGATAGTGTATAGTGCAGAAAATGTTGACAAATGTTATTCCAGTCAGAGGATATAATGATCAGAAAAAAAGAACAGGCCTGCAGCTCTTTTGTTTTATACCTCTTTTTTGTAGGTTCAATTTCTTTAATATTATTGACTCTTCAATCCTTAATCTAGCCCTTTTGCAAACTACCCAAAGTAAAACCTTCATTATTAACTGTTGTGGCGTACTATATATTTTCAGGTGTTGCAGCCTTGTTCATTGTTCTTGGACTTCTTTGAGCCCTTATCTGGGCCACAAAATATCAGTCTTAAGGTAGAAGAGATAATTGTAAAGGTAAGACAATGTCCTCGAATTTTGGTATTCACAGGTATGAGTCATGGGAGCACTGTTGTCTTTATTATCCTCCACTGGGAATGATATACAAAGCATGCTATTTTTGGCTCCTTAGTGTAATAGTTGTGATTTATCGTATGTCTGGACTTTCAATTGTTTCTTCAAAGAAAGATATTTGCAACAACAATTGAACTTAAACCACTGAATAATTAATTATCTTACTGTTCTGTACAATGTCTTGTAAATTGACTGTCTTTTGTTTGAAGGTTTCCCCAATTATTTTAAATACGGTGATGACAATCATGTCTGCGATGACCCCCAAAGTGCAGGAGATGGAAATCCAGCAAGTGAATGATGATGTGACTGACCTCTGGGCCGTGAAGGATGTCTTCAATTGTAATTATTGGTTTCTGGGAGTTGATATGGCCAGTGAAGCAACAGAGACTTTCACAACAGAAAAGTGGGAGAGGACAGGGGAGTGCTTCCGAATAGACATTTCGTTAATTCAAGTTACTCTTGAATGTGGACACGGTCACTGCACGATTCCTTTACTTCTGACTGAGTCAACGTTTTCCGGAAGAGTTGAAAATTGGACATCATTTGTCAGTGTTGATTCAGACATGACCCTTGAGGTATTTTCTGCTAATCTGTTCTTTGATAAGATACATAATGTCTTCGTAACTACAACAAGCTGAGCTGTTTATATTGAGAGATATTTAGAACTGCCGATGCTGGAGTCAGAGATAACAGTGTGGCGCTGGAGGAACACAGCCGGCCAGGCAGCATGAAGGGAGCAGGAAAGCTGACGTTTCAGGTCGGGATCCCTCTTCAGAAATGGGCCCATTCCTGCTCCTCTGATGCTGCCTGGCGAGTTGTTAATATTGTTTTATTTCTAAGGGCAGTATGAATGTACTAGTTAGCACTGCAATATACATATTGATCTAAATTAGAAAGAAAAGTGTATTTAAATACTGTCATTCACAACTTTGGTACATCTCAAAGTGCTTCGCAGCCATTGTACTCTCATTGTTTTGGAAGAGGAACAGCAATGATGCTGGTAGGGAAGCAGTTGATTTTGAGATGTTTGACTTTGTAGATCAGCTGAAATTATTGTTTTCCTTTTTTTCCCTTTCAATGGTGGCTGGCTCACAGCACTGACATCCTTTTTATCTGCAGTGTAGGAGCGTTAAAAACTTGTCCTCAAGCTTCACCACTCACCTGTCCACGAACACACACAATTCAGGTGTTGCAGTTGGTTTTTAATTGTTGTTTGTATATTCCTGGAATAGTAAACAAAGACGGGTGGAATATAACCAGAGGAGATAATTAGATTGTCTTTGGTGTTTCTCCCTCTGAATCTTCCTTAGCACCCTAAATGATTTGACATTCCAGGGCTTCACACACACGGAATCATTCACCAGTCAGTGCATTAGTACCTAAAAGTTAGATAATCAACCAATCTTTGTTTTTTTTTAAAAAAGAAGTCTTGTCCAAAAGTTCAATATGTTTACACGTAAAATGGCAGAAAAGTCAGAGACAATGTACTAGCCCAAAGACATATACAACTACAAAGAGCTGTAGACTGACCAAATAGACCTTGCACATAAGAATGAAAATCATCTGGTGTTTTTCTAGAAGCAAATACTGAAGTGATTAAGGACCCAGACCTGACTATATACGTAGTGGAAACTGGTTTCACGCTATCTGTCTAGTGGGTGGCATCAAACCATCCGAAGTGATCACAAAAATACAAAATTTTTGTCTTTAGAAAACTGGTAATATTCATTATTGCGAAGATTGACACAGAGGCAAATGCCAGTATATTACCTCTGCAAATCCTGAAGAATGTGTACCCACACACCATAAGGCCATGGCACATAGGAGCAGAATTAGATCATTTGGTCCATCGAGTGTGCTCCGCCATTTGACGATGGCTGGATAGGTTTCTCAATCCTATTCCCTTGCCGCCTTCCTGTATCCTTAGATTCTTGATTAGTAAGGGAATCAATCTATCTCTGTCTTAAATGCATTCAGTAACTTGGCTTCCACAGCTTTCTGTGGCCATGAGTTGCACGCTCTGGCTGAAGAAATTCCTCCTCATCTCAGTTTTAAAATGTCGTCCCTTCATTCTGAGGCTGTGTCCTCAGGTCCTTGTCTCTCCTCGTGGAAACGTCTGTACATTCAGTCTCTCCAGCCCTCTGTGTTCTGTAAGCTTCAATGAGATGCCCCTCATCCTTTTTAAACTCAATTGACTATAGACCCAGGGTCCTCGGCCACTCCTCACATGACAAGCCCTTCATTCCTGGGATCGTTCTTGCAAACCTCGCCCGGACCCCACCAAGACCAGCACATCCTTCATTGGATGGGGGGCTCAAAACTGCCCACAATATTACAAAAGTGGTCTAACCAGAGCGTTATACAGCCTCAGCAGGACATCCCAGTTCTTGTATTCTTCTTGAAAGCATTGCATTTGCTTTCCTAACTGCCAACTGAACTTGTTTAACCTTAAGAGAATCCTGAACAAGGACCCTTCAGTCCCTTTGTGCTTCATATTTCCAAAGCCTTACCCCAGTTAGTCTACGCCTGTATTCTTCCTACCAAAGTGCACAGCCTCAGACTTTGCCACATTGGACAAAAAAGATGGCAGATGGAATACACTATCCTAGTCACTCCAAGTCCTTCTGCAGCCTACCTGCTTTCTCAACATTACCTGACCCTCCACCTATCTTTGTGTCATCTGCCCTCAGTTTCTTCGTCCAGATTGTGAATGTATAACGTGAATAATTGTGGTCCCAACACTGACGCCTGCAGAACTCCACTTGCCAGTTGTCATCCTGAAAAGAGTCCCTTCATCCCCACTCGCAGCCAGTCTTCTATCCATGCCAATACTTTGCCCTTAACACCATGGGATTTTATCTTATTTAATAGCCTCCTCAGCAGCGCCTTGTTAAAGGCCTTTTGGAAATCTGAATAGATCATGTCTACTGGCTCTGCTTTGTTGAATTTGCTTGTTACTTTGTCAAAGAATTCCAGCAGATTTGTCAGGCATGACTTCCCCTTGAGAAAACTGTGCTGACTCGGCTCTATTTTACCATGCACCTCCAAATACTTTGCAACCTCATCCTTAATATATTCTAAAATATTACTGACTATTGTGGTCAGGCTAACTGGCCTACAATTTTCCATCTTCTGCCACCTTCCCCTCTCAACAGGGGTGTTATATTAGCCATTATGGCCCTCCCTAACTCTAGTGATTCCTGAAAGATCATTGTCACTGTCTGCACAATGTTCTCATTAACTCCTTCAGAACTCTGGGTGTAGTTTATCTGGTTTGGGTGATTTATCCACCTTCAGACCTGTTTGCTTCCTCAGCACCTTCTCTTTAGTGACGGCCACTATACTCAACTCTGCCCCCTGACATAGGAATCCATGATGATATTTACAAATATAAGATTTCTGGCATACAATGATTCACTGATTCCATGGAAGCATCGCTATACGTGCACATCTGCACTAACCAGTTCATCTGGAGTGTGCTGTCACAGATGTTCTCCTTCATAGACACTGCTGGAACAGCAGTTGCATGCATGAGAGCTAGCCTGACATCACTAGTCGCAATCAATCGAATCAATCAGACATCAGAGACACAACCAAAACTGTAGCTGACTATTAATAACATTTGCAGAACTGAATATTGAAGAATGGAGCACTTCATTTTCTTCTGAATGAGTGGAGCAAAAATCTCAGTTCTCTGCTGTGACCAGAAAAATTAAAATTCTAGCAGAAAAGGCGGGGCAACGAGCTCCGGATAAATAGAAACTGGAGAATACATCTCTGTGATAAAGAAGTCTTTGGGAGATATCTCTGCTCAGCTCTCAAAAATGAATGAGCTGTAAGTGAGAGCAAGGAACCAGATGAACTGCAAAAGCAGATGCACAGCACATGCTGAAGAGATGCAGAACATGAATGAGTCTCCTTTCAGAAATAAATTCCAGCAACAATGCTGTAGTGAAAGAACTCCAGCAGGACGTAGAAGGAGCCAAATGAGCACTGAAGTAGCAAGAAAACAAATAAAGTAGAAAGAAAGTTGAAGATGCTGAATAGTTATTACAGCAAGTTGTGGAGGAGAAAATATACTGGACAACAGAAGGTGAAAACTTTGATAGAATTAGAAAAATCCATGATGCACAAACAAGAAACTTCAAAATGAGCTGGTAGCTTATTAAAGAATAAAACAATAGATGCCAGTAAGATTCGAACCACTGAAAAAACTGCTGGAGGAATTGGACCAGTAAGTTAACGCAAAACAAAACTTGGCTGTGGTGTGTCAGAATAATCCAAATTCTGGAACAGCAACTGCAATCCATGAAAGAAAAACTTGACAACAGAAATGGGAATTATAGTGTTATGATTGTAATGAGGCCAGCCAGATGGACGTCATAGGATATGAGTTCCCTGATTGGACCAGATAACAGCCACAATCAGGGAGCCGTGGCTGACAAATAAGAACAGGAGTGTCAGACATCCTGCTCATTCTGAGAGCTGGTCCTGAGGGAGCTGCATCAGTTTCAAGGAATCTCCACATGTAAATAAAGGGTCACTTGGTGATGGGATACTGGCCTCGAGTTATTTCAGATAGACAAATATCATGGATGACTTAGGAAATCAGTGGCATCTCCACACAAAGTCACCATCATGAAATCTGGATTTATCACCAAATTACCTATGTGTTCTAGAAACTCATAGGCTCACTTGATATTATAAATGATTAAAATATTGAATGGGAGGGGGATTTATATGTGTACCTTGTCTTTAAGTGTTCTTTTATGGATGCCATATGTTGCATATGTCCAATATCATGCCTGCTGGTAGTTTGACTGCTGTAGTCCCCAAGCTGCGAATGCAGAAATCAGTTGGTTTTCTGTCATAACTCACAATATGTATGATTGTGTTTAATACAGAGTTAGTCAGTGTCTGATGAGTGATTTGATTATTAGACCAATATCATTAACATCACGTATCCCCTGGCTACCCATCTTCCATTGCATCAATTCAATAATTACTCCTCACTTAACGAAAACTCTCATGGACTTGCTGTACCCCGTCTCTACAATGTCTGAGAGTCCTGCGTTCCATCTCATTATTTATGGAGACTGGTGTGTTTCCTCTTCCCTTGTTTCATTCAACTATCAGTGACATTTCCTACATTGTAAAAAGCAATAATTCATCAGAGCTGCTAAATTAGCTGGAGAGCGCTTTGAGGTGTCCTGAGGTTATATTTACAATTGCCTTAAACTGCTGTTTCCGCACCTTGTTCAGTACATTTTTGTTTACTGCTAAGCTCGGCTGCGTTTAGTGAGCAATTGGAATCTTCATAACATTGAACTGTTTTATTTCAGGTCCTTTATTATAATGAAGTTAGTGCAGTATGGGAACCTCTCTTGGAGCAAGTTGCTGGAGGCCAGAAAAGGTGGAGTCTGACATTTCAGGTAATGAGATCTTGTATCGTTTGTATCTGTGCACTTATCAGGGCCAAGTTAAGCTCCTGAACTCTGATGTGGGCGCTGTGTGCCAGTTATGTGATAGATTTTCTATGACTTCCATGAACTCGTAATTGTAACTGGGTTTGAGAGAGTGTTTTCAGCATTGTTGTCGAAATTCAAATTTAACGACTGTCCCTTGACATTCAATGGTGTTGCCAACACTGAATCCCCCACTATCAACATCCTGGGGTGTTATCATTGATCAGAAACTCAACTGGACTCACCACATAAACACAGTGGCTACAAGAGCAGGTCAGAGGATAGGAATACTGCAGCGAGTGACTCACCTCCAGACTTCGCAAAGCCCATCCACCATCTCCAAGCCACAAGTCAGTAGTGTGATGGGATACTCTCTCCACTTGCCTGGATGAGTGCAGCCCCAACGACACTTAAGAAGCTTGACACAATCCAGGACAAAGCAGCCTGCATGATTGGCACTAGATTCACAAACATCTACTCCCTCAACCACTGATGCTTAGTAGCAGCGGTGTGTACTATCTACAAAATGCACTGCAGAAATTCGCCAAAGATCCTCAGACAGCACCTTCCAAACCCATGACCGCTTCCATCCAGAAGGACAAGGGTACCAGAGACATGGGAACGCCACCACCTCCAAGTTCTCCTTGAAGTCACTCACCATTTTGACTTTGAAACATATCACTGTTCCTTCACTGTTGCTGAGTCAAAATCCTAGAATTCCCTCCTGAAGGGCGTTGTGGGTCAACCCACAGCAGGGGAACTGCAGCGGTTCAAAAAGGCAGCTCACCACCACCTTCTCAAGGGCAACTAGGGACAGGCAATAAATGTTGGCCCAGCCAGCGACGCCCTCATCCACAAATGGAGGAATAAAAATAAATTCTCATCAAATATAAGGAGCATCGTTTAGCACAGTGTTGAAAATCGGACACAAAAGATGTAAGCTAAATTTGTGGATCTGGTGAAGAAAAATCAAAAAGGATAAAATAAATAAGCTGCTCTAGTCTGAAATACCAGCTGAGTACGTTGCTCTTAGTTATAGCTCCCTTTATTATGGGCTAAAATAAGGAATTGTTAAAACTTGTATGTTGAAAGCTCTGTGCAAAGCAATTGGAGGAATCTAATAGTCATGCCACTTAAAAAAAAATGTTTAAAATGGAAGCTGCTTAAATTTATAGTATTTGTGTTTACATGGGTTTTTACTTGTTCCTGAATATTCCCTTTTTTTTAAACTTTTTAAAAAATGTTCCTTTACTCTTTCAAGTAAACTGGGATTTCGAATTCTACTTGAAGTCAGATAGACTAGTGTGTTACTTTCTGAAATATGCTACATGTTTTGTTCACAGCATGTGAAGCATGAATGTGAAACCTTCCCTTACCTACTCCAGTATGATCATAATGTTTGTACTTACATTGCATTTATCAATATTTGTTTGGCTTAAAACTGTGGCTTTGTACCAGTGCTTTGTTTTATTGAAGCTACGGCTGAACATGACAATGATCCCCACTAATCAGTGCCAACAGCGGAGAGTGATTGGCTTCATATCGTTCAAATTTCAGATTTTAGTTTACAGCAAATCTATTTGAGAGTTTGTTGAAGCTGAATTGTTGCTTACCAAGGAGGGGGATTTTTGTGGCAGTCAGTTGATGCATTTGTGTTGTTGAAGAAACTTTGGGCTGAATATTTCTGACAAGTATTTTTGCAAAAATATTTTGCAGTATTGGTAACATGTATCTGTGTTTGTTAAATTCAGATAAAAACCAACATGGCCCAGGACACAGCTCTTGTTCCAGGAGATGATTTCCTACAAATTCTTGACCCACAGACTGCCATTACTATTTCCTCGAAAGACATATTGAATATCACTGTGTCCAAATGCAGCTTAAATGTACTTGATGTCTTAGCCAAGGTAAAATACCAACGCTTTTAAAATCCTATTTTTTAAAGGTGTGTTTTATAACACTGTTTATCTGTAGATTATTCAGTTCAAAGGAAGTTATTCAGTTCCACATTGGGGGATATTTAGGTGAACGCTGTGTGGGAGGGGGGTTTAGTGAGTGCATGAATTGATCATGTGTTTTTGAGTGATGGTGCTGAAAAGGAATAGTTTACCAGAAATTACTTTGCAATGTAGACGAACGTGTATTGACCCAGCTCCAGCTTCCTATTCCATTGAGAGCAAAATCAGGGGAAGAAGCCTGACCAACTGCTTATTTGAACAAATGGGGGGAACTGATTCAATGTATGTTTTGGAGTTGATTGGATGAATTGCTAAGAGCAGAGAGTGGCTGAAATGTTGCTTTGTGGGGAAGATAGGGTTCCAGGTGAAGAATATGCTGATTGAAGAACCAAGGTAATGGGGTTAGAGTTATTCCTGATTCTATAACTACGTGACTGTGCAAGAGTTGGTTGGTGAGGAAGCTGTTGAGACATGTATTTTACCAAACATGTAGACTGAAGAGAGATTTCGGAGCTCTGAGATAAAGTGGGATCTAGGCGTCTTAGTGCATGTATGACAAAATGTTGGTTTGCAGACAGGGCAAATCATTAGGAAAGATAATATAATGTTGTCACTTATTGTGAGAATTACTGAACACCAAAGAAGAGAGATAGTAGGAATTGCCGATGCTGGAGAATCTGAGATAACACGGTGTAGAGCTGGATGAACACAACAGGCCAAGCAACATCAGAGGAGCAGGAAAGCTGACGTTTCGGGTCGAGACCCGGTTATGTTTCAGTTATTCAGGGCACTGGTGAGACCATACCCAGAGTGCTGTGTGCACTATTGATTACCTCATTACGTGAAGGATGCAAGTGTATTGGAAGCAATTCAGAGAAGGCCTACCAGACCAAAACCTGCAATGGGCAGGTTTTCTTGAGAGGAAAAGTTGGTCAGACTTGTCTGCTGGAGTTTAAAAGACTAAAAAGTGACTTGATTGTAAGATGAAGGATCTTGACCAGGTAGATGTGAAGATTCCTCTTGCGGGAGTATCTAGAACTAGAGGTCACTGTTTAAAAATCAGGGATATTCATTTAAAACAGATGAGGTTTTTTTTCTCCAAGAAGGTTACGAGTCTTTAGAACTCTTTTATCGAAAAGCTGGTTGAAGCAGAGTCCTTGAATATTTTTAAGGCAGAGTTGTATCCAATTTGAAATGTTAAATCTGTTTCTCTCTTCACAGATGTGACCAGTCCTGCTAAGTTTCTCTAGCACTTTCTTTTAATTTAAGATTTCCTGCAACCACAGTATTTTGCTTGTATAGATGGATAAGTTCTTGTTAAGCAAGGCGATGAAATGTGTCTGTATAATTGTTTTGAATGCATTTTGCGGGAAGGTGATGGTCAAGTGGTATTATCGCTAGACTATTGATCCAGAGATTGAGACAATGTTCTGGAGACTTAGGTTCAAATCCTGCCATGCAGATGGTGGATTTTGAAATAAATACAAATCTGAAATTGAGATCCTGATGATGATTATGAAATCATTGTCAGTTGTTGTAAAAGCCCACCTGACTCTCAAATGCCATTTAGGGAAGGAAACTACTGTCCTTGCCTTGTCTGACCTTCATACAACTCCAGACCCACAGCGATGGGGTTGACTCTTAGCTGCCCTCTGGGCAATTAGGGGTGGGAAATAAGTGCTGGACTAACTAGCAATGCCCACATCCTGTAAATGATTTCTTAAAAAACCTAAACTGGGATTTTATGATCTACACAGCTGTTGTAATATGCAGTGTTTATAGATGTTCTCTTCTAACCTTTGTGAAGTTGCTAAGAATGTGTGCCTGCTCAGTATCCGTATCACTGTGAGATCACAGCCATGTGGCCATTCCACTTCTTATTGTGATTTTATTTTTGTGTGGTAGTTGAGCTTTTAATTTTGAAAATCCAGTGTCACTATAACATGCTCTCGGATCATGTTTGGTATTGTTAGATGCAAAGTGAAGCTCTCATTGCTGCATCGATTTGCTTGGTCCATTTTGCTACCATCTTGTTTTCCACTACTGACCTCAGTCTACAGCAATTAAGAAGGCCTGTTCAAGCAATTGATTCCGATGTCAATCCATAAAAGTTCTACTTACGGTGACCTGATTATTGTTGCCATTCAGTTATACATTTAGACAGACATGTTACTGTTGCTTATGTAGTTTCTGTGAAATATTTCCTACTTTACAACTCTGACTACATTCTCGTATCATGCAATGCCCTGTGGTCATGAAAGGAGTTTCAGAAATGTGAGAACAAAATAAAAAAACTACAGATGTTGGAAATCCGAAACAAAAAAACCCCCAGAAATTGCTGGTAACAGTGTGGAGCTGGAGGAACACAGCAGGCCAGGCAGTATCAAAGGAGCAGGAAAGCTGACGTTTCGGGTTGGGACCCTTCTTCAGAAAGGGGGGAGGGGGAAGGGAGCTCTGAAATAAATAGAGAGGAGGGGTGGGGCTGGGGAAGGTAGGTGGGATGGTGATAGGTGAGTGCGGGTAGGGAGTGCTGGGGATTGGTCAGTGAGGTGGGAGGAGCGGATAGGTGGGAGAGAAGATGGACAGGCCAAAGAGGTGGGGATGAGAGGGAGGGTTGGTCATGGAATGAGGCTGGGAGTGGGGAGATTTTGAAACTAGTAAAGTCCACATTGAGACAATTGGGTTGAAGAAGGATCCTGACCCGAAACGTCAGCCTTCTTGCTCCCCTGCTGCTGGCCTGCTGTGTTCCTCCAGCTCCAAATTGTGTTATCTCTGACTCCAGCATCGGCAGTTCTTACTATCTCCCAGAAATTGCTGGAGAAGCTCGACAGGTCTGGCAGCATCTGTAAGGAGAGAAAGAGTTAATATTTTGAGTGCAGATACACTTCTTGTTTCTTTCAGAAATGCTAGTCATTTTTAAATGTGGCAAACATGCATATGAATTGTGTGTATGTTCTACAGGCATTTTCGGCAGGAACTGCTTCAACTTTTGATTTTTCACTGAAGGACCAAGTGCCATATACCTTAGAAAATGCACTGGGCATTCCTTTGGATGTGCATCACTCTGCAAATCTTTGTGCCATTGGTTTGCCTCCTGATCAAAAATTTCATCATCTGGATGTCGGGCAGATACTGGAAATTGATTATTCGGCTGTGCAACCCCGAAATCGAGGAAAGCTTTCTGTGTTAGAAAGACAAGAAAGTAGCCTTTTTACTTTAACTGTAGGTAAGTTGAACAATGAGAGCAAATACTTGCATGACAAGCAGAAACATTTTCTTACATGGAATATGAAGGAAGTAAACTGGGGAAGTGAACGTGTTTATAAATCACCAAGAATAATGCATTTGCTTTTTCCGTGTAAGGAATAAGGATTTGCCTGTTGGTCTTTGATACTCCAAGCAGTAATTTGGAATTTGAGCTGGGTTTCTGTTTTTCTTTATTTCTGTATTCACATATGAAAATCCATGGATACTGTCCCATTCAGTCACGTTCCACCTAATCACCGTGACTCTGAGGCAAATCAGAACACGTCTAGAACTCTTGTGAGCTAGAACTTTTCCTGTACTGAGCAAAACATAAAATTTGTAGACTTTTATGTTGACATTATAAATTATCTTGCTGCTAAGTTGAATTCGTATCCAAGGTATCTGACGCTTCCAGTCCCAATTAACTAGTTTATAAAACAATCTTTTAGGTTTAACTATTAAAATTATATTGAATTGTTTGAATAATTTTCCAAAGTATTGTGCCACAAATTTGCAATATGAACAAAAAATTGTTTAAATAAAGTTCTATACTAATTCTCTCAGGTATACATCAATGCTTTGCTGAAAAGTAGCATGATTATGTTTTATACTAAAGAAAATAAATTTTATTTTAACAGTGCCGAGTGATTATACTGAAGTAGCAAATATCCCTGTTGCTAAGCCAGGCCGACGTCTGTATAATGTCCTCCACTCTGGCAGCACACATTCAGTGTCACTTCTAGCCCAGATAGATGTTGTGGAAGGTGATAAAAGAATTATCATCCGTTCCCCTCTCCAGGTAATAACTTTTCTTCAGTACATTTATTGTTGCTTTTCCTAAGTTCACTTCAATGCTGACACTGACCATATACAACTGTTTCATTAATTATTTTAATCAGGTGTGAACTTCATGACACTTTAGGTTGTTTTGTGACAAAAAAGACAACTGGATGGGAGACTCCATTCTACCCTGGAATGACCTCTTATGCACTAAGGGGCATGGACATTGAGTCATTGTTCTTGTTAGAGTGTCTCCTGGTTCACTTTTGGACAAATTATACGATTACAATTTTGAGTAGTTTGGTTCTGTGCTTCACACATGGGCTGAAATCTACACTTGTATGTTCTCTATCCAACCTTGTCCTTCCATAAGCATGACGCATGATAATTATGAAAATAACATTTTGGCAAGTGTAGGTGCGAGATTCCCCTGACCGGAGACATAGACTCAGGTGGCAGACAGGATGAAGGCACATAGTGGACTTATATTCAAGCAAGAAACTGGTTAGCGCAGGGAGGGGGCCAAAGGATCTTCCCTGAATCTGGCTTTGATGTGACGACGCAGTTACCTGTTTAATCTTTGGCTCAAATCAGAAGAGAGACCAATGATACACTCTGATTTTACAGTAAAAAGCAGTACCTGTTTACGTTTTGTGTTACAATGTTCATGCACAACGTGGTTACTGTACCTTTCCCTTCCCATTTGTGGGACCACTCATGTAAAACACCTGATCAATGATGGACACTCCTTTGGACAGCCGTAGGTTATTTCATTTTTTAATGATGTTTAACAATTATTGTAATCACTAGGCCTTGGGAACTTTCTATGTTGCATTCCAAAGTTACTGGCTGTCTTCTTTTGGTCATTCTTATCTCTAGGGACTGCTAGAATGCTATTGTCCATTGTACTGGCTATCTGTTACCAAATTCCATTATCCCTTTTAATGTTAAAAAGTTGATACTGTTATAAAAATCTGTAATAATAATAATTGTAATTTTTATAATTATTTCTATTAACATTTTTTAGCAAATCAAATAAGATATGCCAGACATCGCTTTAATATTATAATTATGTTGAAAATCTATCTGTGATTATTTAAAGAATCTTTAACGAGAACTTACTAATATTGTTATAGTTTCAAAGCAACAGCTAATTTCTGCAAGATAACTTTAGCTGCTGTTTTTATAGCTGAATACATCTTTAATGAAACTAGGATTAATTACTTGTAGTTTGTTTCTTAGTGATTTGTTTCAAAGTTTTTGTGTTACAATTTCATTTTGTTACAAATCTCCCAATTTTTTTTAACCTTCTTTATCGCTGTCTTTGCATTCTTTGGAATCTTGCCATTCACATAATGCTTTCTTTTGCTTTGGAATAATCCACCTCTCAAAGGCACATTTTTTTTTTTTTTGTTGAGGTAGGCTTTTTAAATTTTGGCCATTTTGCGTCCCTTAAAAACAGGCAGTTCAATCGGGCTTTTCTTTAAATTCCGTCCCTCCTTTTGTCTCTTAAAAATAGGCAGCTCCAAACCACAAGGAAAGTTCAGAACTAAATCAACCTTCAGGTGTCTCAGTAATCCATTCCTTGAAGTAGGAAAGGACTATGTGGATAATGAACTAGTCTGGCTAATTAACAGAAACTGCACAGGTTGAGTGGATACCGTATATTTTCTGATGAGGCTATGAAAACTAAACAGTGATTTATCCCTGGATTAGTATCATGCTGGTTCTACTTGTTGGTTTAGAGCAACAGTGACAGAGGCTTGAATTGTAATTTTATCTGAGCGTGTTTTTTGAATGGTCATGTAATGAAAAAGTTGATTTAATGAAGAAAATGTTATCACCTTGTGATAACAAGGTGTAGAGCTGGATGAACACAGGCCAAGCAGCATCAGAGGAGCAGGAAAGCTGACGTTTCGGGTCTAGACCCTTCTTCAGAAATGGGTGAGGGGAAGGGGATTCTGAAATAAATAGGGAGAGAGGGGGAGGCGGATAGAAGATGGATAAAGGAGAAGATAAGTGGAGAGGAGACAGACAGGTCAAAGAGGCGGGGTTGGAGCCAGTAAAAGTGAGTGTAGATGGGGAATTAAGGAGGGGATAGGTCAGTCCAGGGAGGACTGACAGGTCAAGGGGGCGGGATGAGGTTTGTAGGTAGGAGATGGGGGTGGGGCTTGGGGTGGGAGGAGTGGGGCTGGTTTTGGGATGCGGTAGGGGGAGGGGAGATTTTGAAGCTTGTGAAGTCCACATTGATACCACTGGGATGCAGGGTTCCCAAGCTAAATATGAGGTGCTGTTCCTGCAACCTTCGGGTGGCATCGTTGTGGCACTGCAGGAGGCCCAGGATGGACATGTCATCTAAGGAGTGGGAGGAGGAGTTGAAATGATTTGTGACTGGGAGGTGCAGTCATTTGTCACGAACCGAACGTAGGTGTTCCACAAAGCGGTCCCCAAACCTCCACGTGGTTTCCCCGATGTAGAGGAGGCCACAACGGGAACAGCGGATACAGTATACCATATTGGCAGATGTGCAGGTGAACATCTGTTTGATGTGGAAGGTCTTCTTGGGGCCTCGGCTGGGGGTGAGGGGGAAGGTGTAGGGGCAGGTGTAGCACTTCCTGCGGTTGCAGGGAAAAGTGCCAGGTGTGGTGGGGCTGGAGGGGAGTGTGGAGCGGACAAGGGGGTCACTGAGAGTGGTCCCTCCGGAAAGCAGATAAGGGTGGGGAGGGAAAATGTCTTTGGTGGTGGGGTCGGATTACACATGGTAGAAGTGCTGGAGGATGATGCGTTGGATCCAGAGGTTGGTGGGGTGGTACGTGAGGACGAGGGGGATTCTGTTTTGGTTGTTATTGCGGGGAGGGGGTGTGAGGGATGAGTTGTGGGAAATGCGAGAGACACAGTCGAGGGCATTTTCGACCGTTGTGGAGGGGAAATTGCAGACCTTGAAAAACGAGGACATCTGGGATGTCCGGGAGTGGAATGCCTCATCTCGGGAGCAAATGCGGTGGAGACGAACATAGAACGTAGAACATTACAGCGCAGTACAGGCCCTTCGGCCCTCGATGTTGCGCCGACCTGTGAAACCAATCTGAAGCCTGTCTAACCTGCACTATTCCATTATCATCCATATGTTTATCCAATGACCATTTAAATGCCCTTAAAGTTGGCGAGTCTACTACTTTTGCAGGCAGGGCATTCCACGCCCTTACTACTCTCTGAGTAAAGAACCTGCCTCTGACATCTGTCCTATATCTATCACCCCTCAGTTTAAAGCTGTGTCTCCTTGTGCTAGCTATCACCATCTGAGGAAAAAGGCTTCCACTGTCCACCCTATCTAATCCTCTGATCATAAGGAATTGGGAATAGGAGATGGCACTTTTGCAGGAAGGTGGGTGAGAGGAGGTGTATTCTAGGTAGCTGTGGGAGTCAGTAGGCTTGGAATGGATTTCGGTTTCCAGGTGGTTGCCAGAGATGGAAACATAGGTCCAGGAAGGAGAGAGAGGTATCGGAGATTGTCCAGCTGAACTTAAGGTTGGAGTGGAAGGTGTTCGAGCTCCTCGTGGAAGCACGAGGTGGCACCAATTTTATAAACTTATGTGCTGGTTTGGTGTTCAAGATGTATGTTTATTGAAATGCTGATCATATCCTCTGCTTAAAACTTAAGAAGATGGACAAGGCTTTTGACTGTTGCAAAATTAGATAGTTGGAGGTGAAGCTTGTATAAATGACAGGAAAGTTCACTTTGTTTGTTTTTATCCCCTATCTATAGATCAAGAACCACTTCTCTGTTTCCTTTATCATCTACAAGTTTATTCCAGCTGAACAGTTACTGGAGACTGTTGGTGTGGCTAATCCTGAAGAGGAATTCCATGTGCCTTTACACTCTTACAGGTGGAAATTTAATCTAACATTGTCCAATGTTGGTTCTGTTGTCAGAACTGGGAAGATTAGATTTGCTTAGCCATGACAGAGCAGTGATTTTGCTTTACATCTGCACTAAGGATTGTCAACCGGAAAACAACTCCATGAAATCTGTCCCCCCATTCCCACCAAACTCCACGTTCTTCTCATCTCTCTACCCACTCCTGTCAAATTCCAGCAATCTTCAATTACCCCAGACTTCAGATTCTACCTGAATATGCCTCCTCAGTGCTCCCATTGTGCCGATACTCCCAGTATTCCAGAAAGCTGTGATTATTGTCATGGCACAGTGACTGTGCATGCATGGAAACACAGGTTAGTATCACGTCACTGCAAAGTGATGGAAAGGCACCTGCTAATAACAAATTTAGGCACAAATGATGAATGACAGAGGTCCCAGCATTGCTCCGATGAAACACCATTTTCTACCTTTCTCAAGTCTTCGCAGGCCCTCTGAACATTATGTATGGGGTGAAGGGGCACAGTGGCAGGAGCTGAAATCTCTTCTTGTCTTTTGTTTCCAGTTTGCCATAGAATCTGATCTGTCAAATCCAGTGTGTGACCCTGGGCAAGCTATGAGCAAACTTGGTTGGGGAACAGTTGTTATTGACCACAGTTTGCAACTTCACACAAAGCTGCCCCATCCAGCCACACTCTCTGTCCAGCCAAACTTTCAGCGATTGTTGATCTGCCAAAGAAATGGCTGTCCATGCATGATCAGCCACTGAGCCTGTGCCCGACTCACCATCCACAGCATGGACTGTTTGATATGCCGCATAGCCATCTTTGTCACCATTTTGTAGTTCTTTATTTACAAGCTGATTCTAGAAGCTCCAAGATGTCAGTGGCTTGCTGCTAGCCTCTCAGTAATCTCCTTCAAGCCACCAGAACTGTTTCCAGGGTGACTACAGCCTAGGGTCACCTCTGCTTATATGCTACCTGCCTCTAATAGTGTGCACATTGCAGATTGCCCTGCTGGAAAAAAAAGCATTTTATGATAAATATTGACAACATATAAAGAAAGTTTTAATGATATTATTTCTTGTATATAATCAAACGTCCACACTTGCAAATTAAAAATAATTGCTTAATAAAAGTTTTATTTTTTGTCAGGCAGTATTCCTAGTGTGTCTTGGCTCAAATTATGGAAATATTCAAATTTTCTTTTCTTTTAGTAAAGCATTTTGAAAAGAGCTTGAAGATAAATTTGTTTTTTATTTGGAGTTGTATCACAGGGAAAACATTATGAAGTGTATCCCCTTTTTGAAATGGAATAAATGGGAATCCTTTTCTTTGTTTGTACTGAGAATCTAACAATTTATGTACTTAAGCTTGTTTACGCTGCTGTGCTATATATTTGTGCATCCATTTAATTTAAAAAAAGCACGAGTTGTTCATTTCTCATAGTCTTCAAAAATGTCCCTTGGGCATTAGCCTCCAAATATCTTTTCAAATTTTTTCATTGGTGTTAAGACTCCTATGATTCTCAAAGCTCAGACTTGAGAGAGACAGCCTGGAGGGCACCTCTGGGAGTCAATCACATTGTTAATAAACAGCCAAGCAATATAGGGCTACAGCTCAGCAATTTTGTGTTTGTATGTGCATTGCTCTCATCTGAAGGTGTAGGTTTTCATCTAAACAAAATTGCCTTTTATCGTCATGAGATTTACAAGTAGAATTAAGGACTGGAATGATGGCTGCGAGAAGAGAAGCAAGGTTGAACATTATTCGACAATCGCTGTTTAATATTACAAACCACTTAATCTTAAAAACTCATTTGACTTCAGGTAACTCTATAGAAGGACAGCTTTATTGAAGGGACACTTAATGTGAAAGTGTAATTAAGCGTATGATAAGATTGGAGAGAGGGCTGTTGTGATCCAGTCCCCACTTCTGGATTTAAATCCGTACTACTCCAGTGTTGTGTCACAACATGCCTGGACAGTTGATTACAAATACCTGAATCTTTCCAATTGGTGAGCTGTTTGTGGTACAGTGATAGTGCCTTTACTCGTCTTCCAGGCCTATAGGTTCAAGTCCCAACTGCTCTGGAAGAATTCTGAACAGATTGATTTAAAACAAAAATGGTTCTTGTGGTGCAGTGATTGTATCCCACCTCTGGACCAGGATGTCTGGCTTCAAGTCCCAGATCCTCCTGAGGTAGCTCAATAGCATATCTGAACAAGTTGATTCTGAATATCTATGATAAGGTAGGAGCTGTACAAAGGACTGAAATATTGCTTTTTTTTTGTGAAGGGAGCAATTGTTCCTGAAGCCATCAGGTGAACTGGAGGACCAATTCAAAATGTCAACAACATACATTGTGTGGAAGGAAGAGCTTCACAGGAGCACGGAGATCCGATGCATGCTGCAGTGCCCTTCAACTCAGATGAACTTCCTGCCTCTTATAGTTAACATCATTGCTATTCCAGATGAACTGAACTTTATCAGTAATCATGGTGAAGATGAGTGGGATCCAGCATATATCATTCACCTCTACCCCACAGTTACAATTCGAAATCTGCTGCCATATACTTTACGTTATATGTTGGAGGTGAGTCCAATTCAACCAGAGTGCAAGTTTGCAGCTAAATACATTCATGCTTATCTGGGAATTTGGGTTGTTTCAATTGAAAGTACAATCAGTTTTAGCGCTATTTTTAAATTAAAGTTGCTGTTTAGCAGTAAATGCCTTTTTTATTGCTAATTAATCACTTCAAACGTGATTTAGTTTTGTTTTGATTGTGTTTAATAATACCTCCCATTTTCACAGAGCGTGCTGAATAAAATGGATGCTGTAACATCAAAATAAATGTATTGTGCTACATTGAGAAACCCCAGTGTGGTTTTGAAACACTATGCTATTTAACCCAAAACCGTTTCTCCTCCCCCTATCTTGGATACTGCTTTCTTTTAAAGCTGCAGTACTCGCCCTATTATTTTAAAATGCTTATCTTCCTCCATCCTTAACCTCATCTTGTCCTCTAATTATGTGGGGTGTACTGTTAGGAACCATATCTTTTATCCCTTGTTGGAACCCTGACTACTTAGTTTGTCCTACTCTCAGCACTAATAATGACCTAGTCAAAAAGTCTTTGGCATTTGGTGAGAATGTGATCATGATGCATGTGACCCTCAAATCCTGTGTGGGTTTTGGCAGAGTCAACAAATATGCATTCATTGCTTCTTGTGTATCGCACTGCACGTACTACTTTTAGTGCTGTAACGTTCCTACCAGTCTCGAAGGCATTTAGCGCATGTGCTATGGCTTCTTTTCTGGGATGTCCCAAGTTTTTTTAGGATCCCATCCATTTCTCTGATGCTGTTAAATGTTAGTATAATAAATATAGAGTCAGTTTTCATAGATCTGTGATTAGTAATGAGATTTATCTTTGCACTACCATTCTTGATTTTACAATTGTTGCTGAGTTTATCCAATGCTGAATCGATGTTCATTTATACAAGTGCCAGAACATTTACATGTCCAAATTGGCAAGAACTAAACAACCTTATTGAGACAGGCTTAGATGTATTGCGCTATAGGCCCTGATCCCACTGCTTGACTGCTGATGCCAGTCAAGTTCATCCTAATAGTGTGCAGCTTCAGTGGCCTATCAAGGACTGAAAATATTGTATTTGATCTCTAACTAAGACTGTGTATCCTTCCACCTCTTGACTCCACAGCCTTCTTACCACTCTTAGTCCCGCCACCAGTAAAACTCTGTTTCATATCTCTGTCATCTCGAGACTTGCCTATCTTTGTCTTTCTGGCCAGATTTCAGAATTCCTTTACTGATGTACGACTCTATACAGTCACATTCTTCTTCTTCTGTTGTCTTTTCCCATCCTTCATCTTGACATCAAAATTCTTGAACTCAGTTACTACGTACTCTCTGTTCTTTAAGTACTGATCTGCCACATATTCCTTTGCAGTACCCACGATGGTGAGCTGTCTGCTATCTTGCTTGTTCTGCCTACTCCATTCTATTTGAATTGTCGGACTGCTTGTCTAAAATTCAGTGTGAGACGAGAAGATCTTTCTTCCAATTAAATATTGAGAACACCAAATTGTTTTCGGTCATCGTGACAAGCCCTGCTTATTAACCAGCTCCTCAACCTCTCTGTGACAACTGTCTGAAGCTGAACCGGACTGTTTGTAGCCATTGTTATGTTTTGATCTTGAGATGAGCTTTGAACACACATCCTCGTGAAAGCCAAGTTTCTGCCTCTCTATCAAAGCCCCTCAGAATTTTACACATTTCTATCTCCACTTAACTGGTTGAACTTTGAGAAGAGGAATTCCAAATTTCCATCTGAGTATGTAACTAATATTCATTATGTTTAGGATTATTCCAGTCATTCTCCCTGCGGCCCCTCTAAGATATTGGCATCCTTCCTAAAGTGCGATGCCCAGAATTGGACATGGTACTTCAGTTGAGACTTGAGCAGTAAATCACGAAGGAGAAGCGTAACTTCTTGTTTTTGTTCTCTATGCTTGTATTTCTTCCAAGATGGTGGTGGAGTAGGACTCCTCAGCCAGAGCTCCACTAGTGCATCCGTTTATTTCTTTGTTTTTCCTCTTTACTTTCTCTTTTGTGTTTTCTCCCCCCTTTCTTCTCAGCTATGCCCTGGACTCGCAGGCTTGAGGTGAAGGCTGGCGCGGATTGGAGGTTAGGTGTCAGTGTGGATTGGGTGGGAAGGATTGTTACTCTGACCTTTTCATTTCTTAATTTTTCTAATTTATTCCTATGATCTGTAATGCTGGAATTTTTAATTCTTTATTTTTCTAAGAATTTGTACTTAAGAATCTGTACCTAGGTACCTTTGTATTTCAGATGGCATCATAAGTGGTGACTACTTATTTGAGTACATGTGACAATCAAGCTCATACCAGTTCTCTCTATAAAGCTCAGGATCCTGTGACTTTTTTTTAAACCATCTTATTGACCTGGCCTGCCACCTAGAAGAATTTTTATGTCAGCCTTCTAAGTCACTTCTAGAGATCTCTCTGTTCTTGGACTCTATTGAAAGTTGCAGTATTTAGTTAAAATTACCTCTCAATTTTCCTTTCACAATGTGATAGTTCATATTACTTTTGAAAGTCAGATGAGTTTTGCATTTAAAATGAATTGTCTGTTTTATCCAGGCAACAGCAGAAATTAATGAACTGGCAGAAGGATCCTCAGCAGATGTACTGCAATCCAGAATCAAGGGGGAAATAATGGAACTGGCCCTAATGAAATATCAAGGCAGGAACTGGAGTAGCCATATTAAAATTAAAGATGGACTTCCTGAAATGTTTCCAGTATGCTTCACTGCTGACTGTAAGGATTGCATGAGCATTGATTTGCTTGTCCATGTTCGCAAAATTAGTGGCCGTCTGGTTTTGTCCATTTATAGCCCATACTGGATCACTAATAAAACATCCAGGGTCCTGCAGTATCGTGCAGAAGATATACATGTGAAACATCCAGCTGACTTCCGTGATGTTGTCCTGTTTTCCTTCAAACGGAAAAACATATTCAGCAAAAATAAGGTATGTGTCATTCCTTTGTGATACTTGCATTTTAGCAGTAATAAAGGAGATTCACCAGTTATTTGAATAATGGATAGCCATCCACACTTTTAAGGGATGTGGTATCACAAAGGGGTGAATGGCATTGCATATTTAGATAAAATCATTTGCATTTTGTAATGTTTCTGAAGGATGCATCTTCATCATTACAAGTATCCCCTTCCTGTTCAGCTTTTCTTTCTGTATTCACAAATAGAGGTCACTGCCCTTGTTAGAATACATTAAAGTTTGAAATAGATAGTTAGCGAAAAACATCATACAGAGTGCAAGAATAGGCAAATTGTTTTGTAGTTGGAACAAATCATTGGAGCTTGTTACAGGGTCCAGAGCATCTTTTTTATTCATGTATGTTTATCTTTCTTGTTTCTGCTCTTAATTAACACTGTTGGAGGCTGAGGTAAGTAATGCATGGTGTGATTTTGGAATGATAGCACTCAGTAGATGTGCAAGTACTGGCAGTGATACTGTAGTGTTAGTGTGCGTTTATTCCACTTCTGAAAGCCCGGAGCAGCCATGACCACAGTGGCACCTTGTTTCACATTTGGGTCCCTGAGCCCCAGGAAAGCTGCACAAGCCATAATAGCCATAACAACACTGGTCGCCCTTCAACCCCAAGTAATGATGGATTTTCTTCAAGCCAACAGTGTGTTGGAGTGTATAACCAAAATGTTGTGACATGAAATCCAAGCTTTTTTTGACATGGAGGTTTAGCAGATTCCATTCCATATCAACCATAGTCCAAACAATTAGCACCATTTCTCCTGTTATAAATTTTTGTTTCCTTTCTAAAGTTGGTTTTCTTGCATTTCAGTCCTGCTGAGAGCCAAGTTGGAAAACTTTCACTTGTCTCTTTTCAGAAAGGTAGGGATGATTTAGCTCAGTTGGCTGGATGGCTAGTTTGCGATGCAGAGTGATGGTAATAACATTGGTTCAATTCCCACGTCCATGAGGTTACCACGTAAGACTCTCCTTCTCAACCTGTCCCTTCACCTAAGGCATAGTGACCCTCCGATTAAACCGCCACCCGTCGTGTCGCTCTCACTCTCTCTAATGGGAGAACAGCCTTATGGTTATGATAAGACTATGCCAACTGTATAACCAAAATGGTAGGCTACAAGTTTTAGGAAGTCATGCTTACTTGTACATCTGTTGAGTCACTGTATCCACGAATATAGTTTGTAATCATGGTTAGCGAGATATAGAAGAAACATTCATACCTCAGAGGAAAGCATCACAATTATAAGTATCAGTGATTTGATGAAATGTTGGAAAATGTAATGAGAGGGGACCTCATAGTTATTTATACATGACCTGATGAAGGCGAATCTAAAATACTAACTCAAATGAAAGTGTGGTGGGACATTAGAACGACTTTTCAAGTGAAAGAAGGTTTGGGAGCATTCCTTATGGTGAATGCTCATTGAAGACTTCTGGGAAGAATTATGACTGAAAGTCACCAAACAAACAGCTTTACAATGGGAAAAGAGGTTTTTGCTTTGTAGGTAAACTGTTATGATTAAGTGGCCTAATCTGAGCCTGGTTTTTGTGCTGTTGATGGTATTTATGCCGTCAGTATCCAAGTATTTTGGCACTTTTGATGCCTGTCTCTGCCATGCTGTTTGATGGTATGTAAGGGAAATGTCCTAATCTACTGACCTTCCAGTGGTTTTGTTAGCGTGGAATTGTATACTAAGTATTATGTACTTGCAGCTGGCTCCAAAAAAAACTGCTAATTTTTGTTCAAAAAGCAAAGGACCAAAAATGTCAACTCTTCCCTCTCTTTTATATAGTACCCAGTTTATCAGAGATTGCTCATCTGGTCATTGTTTGAAATTATAGAATATAAATAAGGGCCTGAACTTGGTGAGGATTTCATTCAGCCTCCCTTTTGAATAGTGTTATTCCATTATATATCATTTTGTTCTTCTATTCTATGTTCTTTTTTGTCATTCATTTGGTTTGTCAAGAATATCCTGAGCTGATGATTGAGAAATATTGCATTGGAAATGTTTTTGTTGTTTTGGCTTACAGATTCAGCTATGTGTGTCTACCAGCAGCTGGTCTAATGGTTTCTCATTAGACACTGTGGGAAGTTACGGCTGTGTCAAGTGTCCTGCAAGGAATATGGAGTATTTGGTAAGATTTTTAATTTGAAGTGCAGCTTGAATACTTAATAAAGAGTGAGGTCCTTTGGTTTTACACTCAAAACTTAGAAAATCTGTAAACCAAGTGACACTAACCAAATTTGTATACTATCCAGTGTGACCTAAGGCACTGCGACTGTACGTAATTTATGTGGAATATCTATCGCCAGCTCTGCTCAAGCAATTAATTTTAATCCCAATGTATAACAAGCCATTACTGCAGTAACATCACTTCTCTGCTTCACATGCCAACTAACCATATTGCCCCTCAGCTAATGTACTGAATTATTGTCCTGCAATTTCAGCCCTTCCTGTATATATTTGGGTTCAGCGTTTTTCAGAGTTTTCAACATACTGATCAATGATGTTGCCTTAAACGTATCACTGTCTTTGTCACTGTTTCAATCATTAACACTATTCTGAAATATTTGTACAACTGAAGTATTTTACTTTCTGTGAATAATAATAGGTATATACAATTAGAGGAGCAGACAGGGAGGCTGTGCGCCCCTCAACCTTGTTTTGTTGTTCAGAGATCATGGCTGAATTGTGACCAAATTCCATATAGTGGCCTTTACTCCATTCTGCTTAATACCTTTGGTTCACAAAAGTCTTAACTCATAAATTAAATGAACAATTACCATTTGCACACCACTGTTTCGGTGCAGAAGTGTTTCTGAATTTCTTGAAGTCGCAGAGTATTGCAGCACTGAGGCCATTCAGCCCATCAAGCATCTATCTACTCTAATCCCATTTCCTATGCTATGGCATTTCTGTGTTCAAATAAATACTTCTTAAAGGTTGTCGATCATGTTGAGGCCATAGTTATTCATCACATATATCAATGATTTGGATGAGGAAAGAGAATGTTTGTGGAACCAAGTTTGTAGATGACACAAAAATAGGTGAGAAGGCAGTGTGAGTATAATGGTGTTTGTAGAATGACAGAGACAGGTTAAGTGATTGATCAAAAACTTGGCACTTGGAATATAATGTGGGAACTGTGACTTTGGGAAGAACAAGAGAGGAATTGCATATTGTTTAAATTGCAGAAAACTGGAGCATTGAGGGATTCAGGGGTTCTAGTGCATAAATCTCAAAGTTAGCATCCAAATTCAGTGGACAGTCGGGAAGACAAATGGAATATTGGCCTTTATTTCAAAGGAAATAAAATACGAAAGCCGGAAAGTTTTGCTGAAACTAAGCAAGGCACCGGTCAAACCACAACTAAAATACTGTGAACAGTTTTGATCCCTTTATCTTAAGTAACATATATTGGTATTGCAGGTAATCCAGAGAAGATTCACTGGGTTTATCAGAGTTATGAAGGAACTTCCTCATGAGAGGTTGAGTAGGTTGGGCTTGCGCTCATTAGGATTAGGAAATGAGACTCAAATACACAAGATCTGTAGTGGGCTTGACTGATTAGTTGTGGAAAGGCTATTTCCCATTGTGGAGAGTCATCCATTTAAGGCCAAGATGAGAAATTTCTTTTCTAAGGGAAGTAAACTTGTGGAATTCTTTACTTTAGAGGGCTGTCAAGGCTGGTTAATTAGCACATTCAAGCCTGAGGTAGATGTTTAATCAGTAAGCGGAATCAAGAGTTATGGGGAAAAGGCAGGAAAATGGATTTGTGAATTATCAGATCAGCAATGATCTCATTGAATGGCAGAGTGGACTTGGGCTGAATGACCTACTTCTGCTCCTGCGTCTTATGGTCTTATTATGATCTGTTATGATGTATTTGTAGAACTGAAGTTTGATATGGTGAATAGTTTGAGCCAACACAGAAGCTTGGGAGGTGCGAATAGTCATGTTCTGCCAATTAGAGTAACTATCATCATACACTTTTTTTTTTGCTCTGCTGCTCAGCTACATTCCTAACCAGATCAGCGTGGAATTTCATTCAGGAAAGGTCTGGCTGTTATTTTTCAGACTGTGTGCCCTACTCCTATTATCCTCCAACCAGAGAAAATGGTTTCTCTGTATTCTATCTGTTCCTTTAATAGCTTCACCTCTTCACCTTCTACATTTCTTGAAATAAATGCTTTTCTTGTAACGTATGAGGTCCAGATATTAGTCTGGTAAACCCAAACTGCACTTCTTCCAAGGCCATTATATTCTTCCAAAGATGTGAAGTATAGAATTGTTGACTGTTCTACTGGTGTGATCTGATTAGAGCTTTGACTGCTGAAACATGATTCTACTGCCTTTCATTCCAGTATAAAGGTTAACATTCCATTAGCCCGTTTGATTATTTTCTATACCTGTTCATTTTATAATACACTTTATTTATCTATGTATTTAGGCCCTCAAGTCTTTTGAGACCTCTTCTATTTGTACATTTTCACCATTTAGTCACTATCTTGTGAGGACATTTGACTTTGGACCAGAAAAAAAGAAAAAAATTTGCTGAAGCAGAAGTCTGTTTGCGAGGTTATTTTTGATATACTGTGCACATTTCTTTTCGTAATTCTTTCATGTAGATCTTAGATTTCATCTTTTTACCCTCCACTCTTTTTTCTAAATTGTTCGTTCATCAAGCTATGCACTATTTTACATTTTATGTTTTTACACCTTTATTTTCTCTCTTGCCTCTTAGTTATCCATGGATGATTTTGGCAAGTAGAGCTTCAACTTTTTAGTTGCATAAGCTTGTTTTCTATTGCATTGTTACTTTATAGACAACTTCCACTGATCTGATAAATTTGTTCGGATTAATGTGGATAATCCCTGTCTTAATCCTTTTGAAGTCAACACCACCTCATTTTAGAATCTGAGTTGCTGCTTCATGTCTTTTCCCTTTTGAGCACAAATTTGAACCTGGTCATATTATGAACATTATTAGAAATATTTCCCAACCATTAGACTGTTAACTAAATCTAATTTATTACTCATTATTAACTTAATCTGGCCTGCTTCCTTGTTGGTTGAGGGAATAATGCAGTTCCAGATAAACTCATTAAACCCATTTTACTTTTGGTACATAATTACCTAAATTCTGCATTTTATACAGTTTACTACTGTACAGTTACCATCCAGGATTCTACCTAATTTCTACCATAATCTTAAAATGTTTTTCTGTTTTAAAATTCTACCCATAAAGTCTCCAGGAGTTATCTTACCTCTCATCATTACGTTCCCTCTACCCACTGAAATTACTTCATGCATGATCTGTAAGGCTACTCCTCACTCTATCATTTTCCTGTCTTTCCTGTAAACCTTTTAACTTGGCATATTTAGTTTTCATTTCTGACTGTCCTGTAGCCGTATCTGTATTCCATGCCATATATTGAATTTGTGTCTGAACTCCCCTTGAGTTCATCTTGCATTCATTAAAGTTGCTTCTTGTACTCCTGTATGTTTTTATAAAGAACTGTTAGTGAACCATGCAGCACATCCTACCCTTCTGCATTAATACTATACTCACGTGTTCCATATTTCTCACACTTGGTTCAATCCTGTCACGTGTTTTAATTTTCCGTTACATTTGGTGCTCAGATCACAACTTCTGACCATCTTCCTCCTGTCCTCCCTATTCATTTCAGAGGTCTTGTACACGAAAACTTTTCCACCTGAGCATCTCCCTCACTCTTAGCATTAGTAAAGTCTTTGCAACAACCCTATTTATCCTTTCAATTAGGACTCTGATCACAGTTGAGTGCAGAGGTGCTTGTTGCAAATAGACTCCAAAATAGACTCCTAGCCCTTCTCTGCACTTCAGAGAGTCTATTTTGCCCATCGGGCCTGCACTGACCCTCTTAAAATCATCTTGCCCTGTGCCTGTAACCCTGCATTTACCATGGCTAATCCACTTGCCAGCATATTTTCTTGAACACAACGGAGCAATTTAGCATGGCCAATGCAGCGAATATGCACATCTTTGGACTGTGGGCGGAAACTGGAGCACCTGGAGGAAATCCCCTGCAGATACGTGGAGAACTTGCAAACTCTGTACAGTCAGTCATCTAAGACTGGAATTGAACCTGGGTCCCTGGTGCAGTGCTAACCACTTTGTCACCGTGCCGTTCATATTTTGTGCCAATATCCCATGATCTTCTTTACCACACCACTCATTTAGCTTTTGTATTCATGTCCCCATCCTTATCCCTGTGGAAATTTGCATGCGAGACAGATCATCTAGAGATTATAACGTGATGTCCTGCAGTTTAGCTTCTATTCCTAGAATGTGCTGCTTTAATTTTTGTTAGTTATCTTTCAGTAATCTTATTCTCATAATTTTGGACAGCATACCAAAACAATGATGAGAAACTGAAAATATATCCAATATCTTGAATTATTCTTGTCCAATGTTAAGCCCAACAGTCACATTTATATCTTTTAGAGGTGTAATGAGCTGTATGTTAGGATATCAATTGAACTAGAAATTCTGTCTTTAATTAGATGGTGGCTGATCTGTATTTTGAGTCCATTTCCCTATCTCTGTTTTCTCTTGAAAAGGAATATGTTGTGATTCTTAATGATCCTCAGCATCCCAAACCCTTTTTTGAGGAGGCTATGGGAATGCTTTGTTTGTTCTTTTTTATTTATTCATTTCATGGGATGTGGGTGTTGCTGCAGCATTTATTGCCCATCCCTAGTTGCCCTTGAGAAGGTGGTGGTGAGCTGCCTTCTTGAACTGTTGCAGTCCACCTGCTGTGGGTTGACCTACAATGCCATTGTGGAGAGAATTCCAGGATTTGACCCAGCGACGGTGAATGAGCGGCAATATGTTGCCAAGTCAAGATGGTGAATGGCTTGGAGGGAAATTGGAGATGGTGGTGTTCCATATATCTGCTGCGTCTGTCCTTCTAGATGTAAGTGGTTGTGGGTTTGGAAGGTGCTGTCTGACGACCTTTTGGTGAATTTCTGTAGTGCATCTTGTCGATAGTATACACTGCTGCTACTGAGTGGTGGAGGGAGTGGATGCTTGTGGATGTGGTGTCAAGCTGCTTGGTGTTGTTGGAGTTGCACTCATCCAGGCAAGTGGGGAGTATTCCATCACACTCCTGAGTTGTGCCTTGTAGATGGTGGACAGGCTTTGAGGAGTCAGGAGGTGAGTTACTCGCTGCAGTATTCCTATCCTCTGACCTAGTCTTTTAGCCACTGTGCTCTTTTAGACTCACTATGGTGAGTCTAGTTGAGTTTCTGATCAACGATAACTCCCAGGATGTTGGTAGTGGGGGATTCAGTGATGGTAACACCAAAGGGCAGTGGTTAGATTGACTCTTATTGGTGATGGTCATAGCCTGGCATTTGTGTGGCGCAAATGTCACTTCCCACTTGTCAGCCCAAGCCTGGATATTGTCCAGATCTTATTGCATTTGGACACAGACTGCTTCAATGTCTGAGGAGTCGCAAATGGTGCTGAACTTTGTGCGATCGTTGATGAACTTTCCCACATCTGACCTTATGATGGAGGGAAGGTCGTTGATGAAGCATCTGAAGATGGTTGGGCCTAGGACACTACCCTGAGGAACTCCTGCAGAGGTGTCCTGGAGCTGAGATGAATCCTCCAACAACCACAACCATCTTTCCTATGTGTAAGGTATGACTCCCAATCGCCAGGGAGTTTGCCCCCTGATACCCATTGATTCCAGTTTTGCTAGGACTCCTTGATACCACACTTGGTCGAATGCAGCCTTGATGTCAAGGGCTTATCATTCTCACCTCCCCTCTGGAATTCAGCTCTTTTGTCCATGTTTGAACCAAGGCTGTAATGAGGTCAGGAGCTGAGTGGCCCTGGCGGAACCCAAACTGGGTGTCACTGAGCAGATGCTGCTTGATAGCACTGTTGATGACACCTTCCATCACTTTACTGATAATCGAGAGTAGACCATGGGGCGTTAATTGGTTGGGTTGGATTTGTCCTGCTTTTTATGGACAGGACATATTTGGACAATTTTCCACATTGTCAGGTAGATGCCAGTGTTGTAACTGTACTGGAACAGCTTGGCTAGGGGAGCGGCAAGTTTTGGAGCACAGTACTATTGCCAGAATGTTGTCAGGGCCCGTTGCCTTTGCAGTATCCCATGTCTCCAACCATTTCTTGATATAACGGTTGGAGACATTGGTAGTGGAGTGAATCGAATTGGCTGAAGACTGGTATCTGTGATGCTGGGGACCACTGGAGGAGGCCGAGATGGATCATCCACTTCGCACTTCTGGCTGAAGATTGCTGCGAAATGCTTCAGCCTTATCTTTTGTACTGCTGTGCTGGGCCTTTCCATCATTGAGGATGGGGATATTTCCTCCTCATCTAGTGACTTGTTTAATTGTCCACCACCATTCACAACTAGATGTGGCAGGACTGCAGAGCTTAGATCTGATTCATTGGTTGTGGGATTGCTTAGCTCTGTCTGTCACTTGCTGCTTCTTGTTTAGGACGTAAGTAGTGCTGTTTGGTGGCTTCACCAGGTTGGTGCCTCATCTTCAGGTATGCCTGGTGCTGCACCTGGCATGCCCTCCTGCACTGTTCATTGAACCAGGGTTGATCCCCTGACTTGATGGTAATGGTTGAGTGGAGGATATGCCAGGCAATGAGGTTACAGTGTGTGCTGGAGTCCAATTCTACTGCTTTTAATGGCCGACAGTGCCTCATGGATGCCCAGTCTTGAGTTGCTAGATGTGTGTGAAGTCTGTCCCATTTAGCACGGTGATTGTGCCACACAACACGCTGGAAGTTATTTTCACTGTGAAGGTGGAACTTCGTCTCCACGAGGACTACACAGTGGTCACTCTTACGATACTGTCATGGACAGATGCATTTTTTTTTTTTCAATTCATTCGTGGGATGTGGGTGTTGCTGGCTGGGCTAGCATTTCTTGTCCATCCCTAGTTGCCCTTGAGAAGGTGGTGGTGAGCTGCTTTCTTGAACAGCTGCAGTCCACATGCTGTGGGTTGACCCACAATGCCATTAAGGAGGGAATTCAGGATTTTGACCCAGCGACAGTAAAGAAATGGCAATATATTTCCAAGTCAGGATGGTGAGCTGCTTGGAGGGAGCTGGCAGATTGGTAAGGATGAGGTCAAGTATGCTTTCCCTCTTGTTGGTTCCTTCACCACCTGCCACAGTCCCAGTCTAGCAGCTGTGTCCTTCAGGACCCGACCAGCTCACTCTGTGTAGTGGTGCTACTGAGCCACTCTTGGTGGTTGCATTGAAATTCCCCACCCAGAGTATGTTTTGTGCTCTTGCCATCCTCAGTGCTTCCTTCAAGTGTTGCTCAAAGTGGAGGAGTACTGATTCATCAGCTGAGGGAGGATGGTACGTGGTAATCAGCAGGAGGTTTCCTTGCCCGTGTTTAATCCGAAGTCATGAGACTTCGAGTCTTCAGAGTCAATGTTGAGGACTCGTAAAGCAACACCCTCCCGACTGTGCCACCTCCTGTGCTGGGTCTGTCCTGTCGGTGGGTCAGGACATATCCAGGGATGGTGATGGGACATAGTCATACTCACAGAATCATACCTTACAGACAATGTTAGGCTGTTGCTTGACTAGTTTGTGAGACAGCTCTCCCAACTTTGGCACTCGCTCCCAGATGTTGGTGAGGAGGACTTTGCATAGTTGACAGGGCTGTTTCTGCCACTGTCTTTCCCGGTGCCTCGGTCGATGCCAGGTGATCAGTCTGGTTTCATTTCTTTGAGACTTTGTAGCGATTGGTACAACTGAATGGCTGGTAGGCCATTTCATAGGGCAGTCGAGAGTCAACCACATTGTGGGTCTGGAGTCACAGACCAGCTGAGGTTGGCAGATTTCCTTCCCTGAAGGACATTGATTTCCACATTACTTTGTGTGGAAAGGAAATTCCTGATTTCACTCCTGAATAACCTACCTATGAATGCCCAATAGTTCTAGATTTCTTCATTTTTTTTTTTCTGTATCTACCTGTTGGATCTCTCAATGATTCAGAAGATCTTGATTCAATCACCTGTTAATGGTCGTTATTTTTTTGAAATATCTGCTTGGTGGAAAAATACTGTCTGTCCACATCACAGTATCTACCTTTATGATAGCTGTCATTGCTTCATAAATGCCCCCTCCAAGCACATTCAACTTTTAAGGGTCTTTGCTGGGAAATTTGGCAATTTCCTTTCCTTCATCGTGAGACTGAAATGTATTGCTGATCCTTGATTTGGTATGGTTTTTGGAAATTTATTCTGTGTGCAGGATCACTTTTTAAGGTCAGTGATCTTTGCTGTAAAAAAACATTAACAACTAATTTATTTCTTAAATTACAGATTGGAGTAACCATTAAGATGAGCAATTTCAACATGACCAAAGTTGTTACCCTAACTCCATTCTACACATTGGTTAATAAGTCTTCCTATGAGCTGGAAGTTGGAGAAGACCAGCCCGCTGGCCAATTAAACAGCGGAAAGTGGATTTATATTTCGGCAGCAGAGGTACGGTATGCTGTGTCAGTTGGAGTGAAAATAGCCTCTTTCCGGATGTCAAATTCACAGGAGCAACGTATACGTAATTACTGCTCAAGAATTTAACCCATTTAATGCATCCACGTGTTGGTGTCAGGAGCAATTTGCACTCTACCACCTGCTGGTTCCTCTAACGAAGAAATGTATCATTAGCAGAATAGAAATACAAAGTACACAGTATTTTGATAATCGTGTCTGGGATACTGTTGTGTTACTGCACATCATTTAGGTGATTTTAGACAGAGAGCCTTTTCACTACCAGCATGTTCATTCTGCTATGAGTCTAATACTTCATGCGGAATCTTCCACAATATTTCACAACTTTTTAGAGCAAATACTTTCACTGTTCTGAATCTAATAAATTCGCAGCATGAAATACTGGTTTTCACAAATGTGACTTTGGTGTTATTTTCCATCCGCTTCACTGGAAAACTGTCTCATTTGGCTTGTCCCCATTTAAGTAACTTATTGTGAGCAAAAGAACAGCCTTCTTCAATACTTGCATACTTGCTCAGATCTCTCCACAAATTTAATGTTAACATATATGTCAATGTTATAAATATTGGGACATGGTGCACATATCAAACGTTGCTTCTGATTAAGTGACCGAATCACCCGTTCAGACATTTGCTCACCATTTGAGCACTTCAGTACTTTTATTTTCTGTTGCCATTGCAATTACTTGCATCTCAAATGAGAAAGTGAAATCAAAATTTATATCCGCATTCATAATCATTTGTGTTTTAAAGTTTTGAATTTGTAAAACAGCAGAGATTTGTGTAGTTACACAGATGCCCGTTTTTAACATAAAGAATAAAATGTAATGGATCGGTACATGCTACAAATAAGGTTTATTAGCAGTTTTTCTATCCCCAAGTTGAATATTTATTTAGCTTTTCCAGCAAATTGGTGTCCTCTCAAACACAGCGCTAGGGAAATCATGTCTTTTGACAGTGTGGTAGAAGCATTCACTGTGAATGCTTTATTTTTTCTGTGAGGTGAATAGAACGTTGACCTGAAAATTAGTATATGTAGGCTGATACAGAAGTTTTTTTTTTTAAGTGTTGCAGTTCTGTTAGAACAAATTATATTTGACTGTTGTAAATGGAATTCTGCTGACCATTCTATGTTGGTAGTTTTAATGTCGTATCAATTGAATAGCCAGTTCCTCTGAGAGGCCATCACTAACCTTTCTCATTTTCTTTCAGTGTCTTCCTTTCTGGCCTGAAACATCATCGAATAAGCTCTGTGTCAGAGTGGTTGGTTCTGAACTGTCTTCAAAGTCTTTCTTCTATAATAAGCAAGACAATGGCACATTGTTGAGTCTTGAACATGTGGTAAGTTCGTATGCTTTGTTTAATTATGTTCTCATTGGTGATGCAAATTTCTATCTCAATTTGGACAGAAATGTGCAAGAGAGGTTATTTTGCTGTGAGTAAGTTGACAGGTGGAAGTTCTCTGCCTTTCTGTAGACCCAGTGGCAGGCACAAAATGGGTGAGACAAGAAGTGGCCATTAAGCTTAATCTTTCTTTCTTATTGGGTCTAACTATCTTTTTTAACATGTTATTCCTCCATCCTTTATCCAAAAAATATTTGTGCAATGAACTTTATTAACATCTTCAGTCTGTAACTCTAAAAGCATGAGACAGTTTCAATAACCTACCTTTTTGACTTGATGATATGAGTAAGGACCACAGTATTAGGCCTTCATACTCTGCAGGGACCTATTCAGCTGATCGGTTTTGCTTTGGGCACTATTATAATTTTGAGTTTACATTTCCATTTTGCATCTAAGCATTAATGGTATGTAGTTCATTACTAAAGCAGTTTGTCATTCTGTGCTATGATACATGTCGTATGCAACACGGCCAATAATGCATGGCTAATTTTTGTCTGTTTTATTATGCTATCTAAATATTCGACAAAACGTGTGGAAAAACTCCTTTTGTCTGTGTTGTATTGAAAGAGGTAGATAGATCATTTAGATGGAGGGTGTTGCTTTTCATCTCTCTCAATTATGTTTGAGGAAAAAGTTGATGGCCAAACGGCTATATATCCTGTGGTTCTGCAGCTGCATGTTGGAAGCTGTGGCTCATATGCTACAATGTTCACTCTGTAAAGAAATTTTACAGCACTTTCATCATGTCTCCCAGTTCAATACATGTCAAATATTGTGGCAAAATCCAGACAGATGGCATACTTACTTGGAAATGAGGCAGAGAGTTGCTGTGGGGGTCTATGAGAGTGGGAGATGTTTGGAAGCCTGGAATGACCAGGTTAAGGATATGGCTACAGCTGGGAGCAGGAACATGGTAGTTGTTATTGGAGAAGCAATACAGAGGCCTAAACTGATAACCTGCAGACAAATTAAAATTACACCATTTCACCTGTTAGATTTCAGTTGAACAAAAATAAGTCTATTTGGGACAAAAAGCTAGTTAGATCACCATGAATTACATTCTGATGATAGACAATAACATACTTTCTCCGTTCAGACATTGCTAGACCTGAGTATTTCTAGCCTGATTTAGATTTCTAAGATCTGAAATACTTTGCTTTTGTGTTATTGTTCACTTATTCTGTGGTAGAACCATGAGGGATTAGAGTAACTAGAGATTCTTTCACCATCAGTGAAAGGGTCTGAGTCCTCCTTGCAGAATGCTCAGTTCACCTCTCAGCTACCCAAGCCATACTGAAAGCATAGTCATTCTAAAAGTCTGCTTGGGCTGCCTAAAACACTCAATTTCAAGAAGTATCAACTTCCAAGCATCAAAGGAAATGCTGTTTGGATTATGATCAGTAATTGTTTAAGGGGAGCAGAAAATATAAACTAGCTTTGAAGTAGGCTTGTTTAAAAATCCATCTAATTTTGAGTGTTTCACGTGTGTGTTAGAGTGAGCAAAACTCCACAAGCCAGAATTAATTAAATGTAATAAAAAGTTCCTGTTCATGATTCATAAGTAGATGCAATGGAAATCGTAAGAATTGAATTTAAAACTCATATGTGTGCACACCCCTCCCTTAATTATACAGGTGGTAAAATGGATAAAGAAACTTGATTTTTCATTCTCATGTTTCTGCTGTGATCAATTTCCCCGATCAGTTCTCTGCAGCACTAATATAGATGTGAGAAATCTACAAAACCATTGCTAATGTTTTACAGTCATATGTTTCAGAATTCAATATTGAGTTGAGCTATGAGTTGATCTTCTGCATTTTTGTTTGTTTTGGTAGTGTGGTGGCATTATAGTGGATGTGAATGTGGCAGACCATGCCACAGTGATCACTTTTACAGACTATTACGATGGTTCAGCACCTGCCCTAATCATTAATCACACGACTGCAGTAAAGTTTTGCTTCAAGCAAAGGTATGTGCAGTTCTTCAGCTGAATCATTCATTATTTGCTCTCCAAGTTCCACCAACAGCAATGCAATGTGTGGCCAGTTAATAATTTATTGGTGTTTAAAGGAAAATCTTAACCAGGGCATTTGAATGCTCCACTGGTGATATTTTAGATCACCCTATTGGCTCAAGAACATCTTTTGGAGCTCTCAGGGGATTGAGTACCTCAACAAGCAGCAGCCTCAGTTTAATGTCTCAACTGAAAGAATTCAGCTTTTTGCTGAAATTCTGGATGGGATTTCAAAGCTACCTAAACCAAGGTACAAATAAAATGGGGGGGGAGAAAGATATTTCAGTAAATTAGTCTCATTGTCTGTCATAATCTTGAATTACCTATTTATAACCATGGTGTGTTACTTGTATGATCCATTTGGTGCAACCATTTTATGTATTGTGTTGAGTTTTAGACTTGGCTGATTGATTGCTTTCTTGTCTCTGAGTCACAAGGTTCCGGGTTCAGTTTTGTAGACTTGAGCACGTAATATAGGCGGATACTGAAGGAGTGATGCACTTGCTGAAATCCTGTGTTCCAGAGGAGACATTTATATGAAGCCCTTTTGACCTTCTCAGGGAAGCAAGGATTCCATGGAGAGGAGATGGCCTAGTGGTATTATCAGTGGACTGTTAATCCACAGACCCAGATAAAGTTCTGGGGACCCAGGTTCACATGGCGGGATTTGAATTTGGTGTTAAAAAATTTGGAATTAAGTGTCTTAATGATCATCTTAATGATGACCATGAATCCATCGTTGATTGTTGGAACAACCCACCTGATGTCTAACTGCCATCCTTGTCTGGTCTACAAGTGACTCCAGACCCACAGCTATGTAGTTGACCCTTAACTGTCCTCTGGGCAATTAGGGATGCGCAGTAAATACTGCCTAGCCAGCCAGACCCTCATCCCGTGAATGGATAGGAAAAGATCCAATTTGAGGAAGAACATGACTTGTCTTAGTGATAATTAAAAGCAAAGTGCTGCAAATACTGAAAACCTGAAATAAAAGCAGAAAATGCTGGAAATACTCTGCAGGTCTTGTAAAATCTGTGGAAGGAGAAATTTAACATTTCAAGACAAATAAGACTTGAGTATTGCTGAAAAAGTCAACTCCTTTCACAGTGAGAGTCATACAGCATAGAAACAGATCCTTAAGCCCACTATGTTTGTCTTGACTAACAAACACTAATCCCATTTACCTGCTGTTGGTTCATAGCCTATGATGGCATTTTAAGTGCTCCTCCAGATGCTTTTTAAATGGTGCAAGAGTGCCCGCCACCACCACCCTCTCAGGTGGCGAGTTTGATATTTCTGCCACCATCTGGGTGATAACTTTTTCCTTAGATCTCTAATCCACTTACTCCTCACCTTACACATGTGCCATCTGGTCTCCGATACATCTATGATGGGGGAGAAATTCACGCAATCTACCCTCTGTATGCATTTCATAATCTTGAGTCCCTCAATCAGATCCTCCCTTTTAGCCTTCTCTGCTCTAAGTCCTGTTGAGTCTTTCCTCATACTTTTCATTCCCGGCAACATCCTGGTGGATCTCCTCTGCACCCTCTCCAGCACAGTCACATCTTTCTGATAGTGTGTCCACAGTATTCCATCTGTGGCCGACACAAGGCTGTCTAAAGTTGTAAGAAGACTTCCTTGTTCTTGTATTCCACTGCCTGAGTAATGAAGGCAAGCATCCCGTATGCCTTTGTTCACCACGCTGTCTATCTGTGCGGGCACCTTGGGGATCTATGGACTTGTAAACCAAGGACCCTTTGTTCCTCAGTACTCCCTAGGGACCCACCAATCATTGTGTATGTCCTTACCGTATTAGATCTTCCAAAATGCATTGCCTTGCTCTTAACAGGATTAAATTACACCTGCCATTGCTGTGCAGTTGGTCAATATCAGAGTTTAGCCTGAGACCATTCTCTGCATTATCAACAACGCTACCAATCTTTGAGTCCAGTTGCCAACCAATAAACACTCTCCTCCTCTTGTACAGGTCAAATGTTATTTTCCTCTTGAATTAGAATTCTTGCAAATTATTCTGATGAGTGCAAGTTGAATAGCTTTAAAAATTATCTTTTTTTTTCCTGCAACATTCAAGTTTTGCACTACCATACGACTACAACTCTGACTGTTAAAACCTTGACTACATTGTATTTTTTGTGTGTCTGAGTACCTTCTTCGTTATTTTGAGATCATAATTACATGAAAACAGTGAGCTTGAAACTGAATTTTTTTCCCTCACTGATATCATTCTGTCAGTTGTAACAACTGTGCTCGTCCATGAACTTCAGGCTTATACATTGTGTAAAGTATCCGAGTGTGTGATGCTTAGTGTTTTTTTTGTGTTCTAACACAACCTCTAGTTCACTTCTTATTTCAAATTACTTTGAAATGAATAAGAGAATACACTTTAAACATTTTTACGTAATGTTTCACATTTCCTATTAAGCACTTAATATTCACCAGAGTTGTGTAGAAATTCATGTGATGCCTTTAATTTGGGACAAACATTCCAAGGCCTGTCACAGGAACATAATCGACCAGACTCTCTGCTGAACCAAAGAAGAAATTAATAGAAGAGATGATCAAAAACTAGATTAAATAGTTCACTCTTTAGGAACGGGAGGATGGAGAGAACTTAATAACACCTATTGTTTCTTTCTGCTGAGTGGTTGAAGTTTTTTGCTTCAGTCCAAGAGTTGTGAAAAAAAATTAATTGCACTTCGTATACAATCTAGGCAAGTGCTTGACTGCCTGTGGATACTGCATTGTTGCTTTCCTTCGGATAACATTAAACGGAGGTTCCTTCTCTTCAAGCTCCTGTGGCACAATTTAACATAGTAACTGGAAGCCTTCCCTTTTTCATAGCCAACTTCAAAAACAAAAACCCAAATTGCTGGAAAAGCCCACCAGGTCGGGCAACATCTCTAGAGAGAAGTTAGAGTTAATGTTTCAGGTCTAGTGACCCTTCCTCACAACAGCCCAGTTCTTCAGAAGAGTTGCTGGACCCGAAACGTTAACTCTGATTTCTCTCCACAGATTCTGTCGGACCTGCTGAACTTTTCCAGCAATTTCTGTTTTTGTTTCTGATTTATAGCATCTGCAGTTCTTGCAGTTTTCATAGCCAATTTCTTCCTTTACCCAGTCCCAGAGAAACAAACAAATGACAGTTTCTCTCACCTGCTGCTGATGGGACTTGAGTATGTACAATTGTCAACTTTGCCTGCAAAGCAGTGACTGTAATTTCTCAACTGTAAATGCTTCAGAAATTCTGTGATACCTGAAAAGTATTCTTTACCTTGCTGACCTGGTTCGTTGTTGGGCATCCGTTTCATTAATCTGCTGGGTAACATCATCAGTGCAGCCTCCGATGAAACGTTGTTGTGTTTTCCCACCTGTTATTTTAACTCTGGTGTCCGCTGAGCTGGGTTGCCTCACTTCCGGTTATCCTTCGCAATGCAGTGTATATGGGGTCTAGCTCTGTGTGTTTGTTGACGGCTTTCTTAGTGGAGAACCAGGCCTCTAGGAATTCCCGTGCTTATCTCTGCTTGGCCTGTCCCAGGATCCTGATGTTGTCCCAATCAAACTGGTGGTTTTCCTTATCCATGTGGATGGAGATGAGCGAGTATTGATCGTGTCTTTTTGTTGGCAGTTGAGGTTGGTAAACTCTTGTGGCTAATTTCCTTCCTATCTGTCCAATGTAATGTTCGTCACGGTCTTTGCAGGGAATCTTGTATATGACATTGGTCCTGTCCATAGTGGGTAGCGGGTCTTTGGTTTGGGTTAGCAGTTGACGTAGGGTTGATGTGGGTTTGTGTGCTACTCTGATGCCCAGTGTTCGTAGGAGTCTTGTGGTCAGTTCAGATGTGTTCTTGATGTAACGTAGCGTGATGAGTGTGTCGGGGTGGGTAGTATCTTCCTGGTGTCGATCGTGTAATAGGCATCTTCTGACCCAGTCGTTCAGCTATCCGTTGTCCCTGAATACTTGGAGGAGGTACTCTCCTTCTTTTTGGTATCATTCTGTGCTGTTGCAGTTTGTTGTTGCCTGTTTAAATAGTGGTTTTACGCAGCTTTGTTTGTGTGTGTTAGGGTGGTTGCCGTTGAAATTCAGTACTTGGTCAGTGTGTGTGGGTTTCCTATGTAACTTTGTTAGGAATTCCCCATTGGTCCTGTGTTCCACCATGACATCCAGGAATGGGAGCTGCTTGTTCTTTTCCTTTTCCTCTTTCCTGGTGAATCTGATCCCGGTGAGAGTGTTTATTGGTTCGTGTGTCTCCTCTAGTTTGGTCCGTTTAATAATGACGAAGGTGTCGTCCACGTATCATATCCATAGTTTCAGTTGGACTAGTGGAAGGGCTATGCTTTCGAGTCTCTGCATCACCGCTTCAGCTATTAGTCCGGAGATAGGTGATCCATGGGTGTCCTGTTGATCTGTTCATATATTTGGCCGTTAAAGGTAAAGTGGGTGGTGAGGCACAGGTCCAATAGCTTCAGCATGTTGTCTGTGGAGATGGTGTCACTCGGGTCTTAGTAGTGTTGCTAGTGTTTCTCTTGCTAGTGGTAATCTATCAATGTGAATAGGGCAGTAACATCAAAATGATACCATGGTCTCGTCGTCGTCTATTCTTGATGGAATTAAGGAACTCTTGGGCTGAGTGAATTGAGTGGGTGACTTGCTGACGAGGTGCTTTAGTCTCCTTTGTAACTCTTTGGCTAATCTATGTGATGGCATGCCTGGCAGGGAGACTATGGGTCTGAGGGGTACTTCCAGTTTGTGTACCTTTTGGGAGGCCATATATTCGGGGTGTTAGTTCCTTCATGTTTCATTCTTAGGTTTGTTGATTTGTCCTGTCTGTTTGAGTCTCTTTACTGTGTTGAGAATCTTGTTGCCCAATTCGATTGGGACAGGCCAAGCAGAGACGAGCACGGGAATTTCTAGAGGCCTGGTTCTCCACTAAGAAAGCCGTCAACAAACACATAGAGCTGGACCTTGTATACACTGCATTGCGAAGGAAAACCGGAAGTGAGGTAACCCAGCTCAACAGAGTTAAAATAACAGGCAGGAAAACACAACAGCGCTTCATCGGAGGCTGCACTGATGATGTTACCCAGCAGGGTAATGAAACGTCTGTGGAACATCGAACCAGTTCGGCGAGACAACCAACCACAACATCCACTACCCGAGCTACAAATCTACTCTAAAACCTTGGAGCATTCTTTACCATTATATGAATCCACCTGGTTTTGTTGACACAGAACTGGAAGGTGAACACTTTATAGAAAATGATTTAATTTTGGCACTTACTGAACTCTGTCTTTCCTCACTGAAAACGCTTCCTTCAACATGGTTAGTTTCTGATTCAGGTAAGTATGTTGCTTCTTTACATAAGCTTCATGTTCTTCAAGTGTCTAGGCATGGCAGTGGGTCATGTGCTTGATATTCAAACCAGAAATGGGTGTGCCATACAATGGCACCTAATGAACAAAAATGACAAACACTCTATCTGTGCTGTATATGTGCAGTAACTTGTTGCAAAATAGTTACGTTATGGGTCAAAATTATATAACTTTATTTTTATCTGACAGCTGAGATATGTTGTGACTCATTGCATGTGTGTAGAGCTATATAGTATAAGTAGCATGTAATTTTATTCACTTTCCTTAAAATTAGTGATTTTAAAAAGGCAGGATTGTGCATTTACACATTTACATATACATGTTCTAACTTCTTTATACACAAATTTCTGATCAAACTAAGCGGTTACACTGGTAAAGAAATGTACTGGAGTTAGTTTCTATGACCGTGCTTCTATTCCAGCATAAGAATGATACGATTGAAAAACGAAAGGTCTTGTTTACGAGTAATTTATGTTCTAACTGACCCTTCCTCCATTCTTGACTGGCAGTGGATTACAGGATGAGTTGATACTCGACCCCGGAGAGGCTCGATTATTTGCATGGGCTGATCCCACTGGTGTCAGGAAACTTAACTGGGGATGTGCATGGAAAACAGGAGAACTTGACCTGTTGAAGGTATGTAGATATTGTCTGTAATAATGAATTCTGGGGAAGGAAAGGTTTGTCTGTTCTGAGCTCACTGAATAACTGAACAATTAAACCACATGAGTGCTGCAACACAGATGTCACGTTTGAACTCAACTTTAACCCTTTAAAGGTTATACTTGTCGTATATCCCTTAGTGAGGTGGACATATCATAAGCAATTACCTGAAGATGCGGGTGAGAGTTTCACAACTGTTTGAGGCCAGTAGTTCGGAGTCTTCCATGAGCAGTGCCCCCTATTGAATGCTTGTAGTAGCTATTACTCCTGAGAATTGAAGGATAGATCCATTGAGAAACTGAACTTGAGGCCAAAGTGAGAACAGTTTCATAATTCACAGACATGGATGTACATCTACATGTAGAACGTTAGTCAAAATTAGTCAGCCTGAGCTTTCCAGAACCAATCGGTAAGGCTTACATTGTTTCCTGAGTTTTCAAAGTTCTATTTTCTTCCTTTCAATCTCTGGGATTAGAGTGTATTAGCTATTAAGAGAGGTTGGACAAACTTTTATAATGTTTATACTGAAGCATCAGAGGCTGAGGGCTGACCTGATAGAAGTATATAAAATTGAGGGTCTTAAGCTGGATATTCCGAATCTGTTTCCCAGGGTGAAAATGTCAAATACTCGTGGGCATAGGTTTAAGGTGTGAGGAGGAAAATTTAAAGGAGATGTACAAGGAAAGTTTTACTTACACAGAAGCTTGGAGGTGCCTGGAATGCACTGGCAGGGGAGATGGTAGAAGCAGATTTGATAGCAAAGTTTAAGAGGCATTTAGACAGATACATAAACGGGCAGAGAAGAGAGTGATATGGACCATACGGAGGCAGATGGGATTTGTTTAGAATAGGATCATGGTCGGCATTGGCATGATGGACCAAAGGGCCTCTTCCTGTGTTGTACTGTTCTGTGTTCCCTGTAACAAAGTGGAATTGATGTATAAGTTCAGTCAGAAACTCATTAAATGGTGGAATGGACTTAATGAGTTGTTTAGCCACGTCCTACTCTGATTACTTGATAATGAACCACTGCCGTAGTGTGGACCAACAGTACAGAGGTTGTTTGTTCTCATTTCATCTGAAGTGAAATGTGGAGTTAAAAGACTGGTCGCTGCAAAAATGGCCACAAATGCTCTTTTTTTGGTCGTAATCACTTGCACTTGAGGATGCAAACCTGTTTCCCTTACCTGGTCCAGCATTATGAGACTGCAGTCCCAGTTTGATTGATTTTTGGAGCAGATTTCTGGGGTGGCTTAGCAAATTTATAAAATAACTACAGTCGAGTGGTTCAAAAAGGTAGAGTACGCACATTTCAGAGGAGCTATAAATTAGCGAGGTTATGATTTACTGATAGTTATGAAAACCTTTTTGGCTTCAGGTGATTTTTGCGTGATGCATATATCTTTGCAGTAAGAGTGGTACCTCTTGGGAAGGCTATGTACTGGGAAATGTGGGAGCGGATCAAACACTCTGTTTATCATTGCGCTGGCTCTAAAATTCGAGGAAAGTCAGGGATGTAACAGCAGATGCTGAATTTTACAAGTTTCCATCTTTTTTCTGTCCTCATCCTGGTACTGTAATTTAGGGAAGGTTAGTTCCTTTGAATGGTCTTGTTTCCGTGTGGGCTACAACTTCGGATGACATAACAGACAACTTTAAGAACTTTCTAATAAAATCTCCAATCCCTTTTATCTCATTTATAGAATGACTTATGTTTTCCAGGATCAGTTTGGGCAGTTTCTTTGGCAAAACAACAATCAGATTCACTGGGTATCTTTCCTTGATGGCCGTCAGCGTGTTTTGGTGTTCACTGAAGATGTTGCAGTTATTTCTAAAGCACGACAGGCTGAGGATCTGATGCAGTTTGACAAGGGAGTTACAATTTCACTTCACAGCCTTGGACTGTCGCTTGTTAACAATGAAAGCAAACAGGAAATTGCATACATAGGAATTACCAAGTAAGTTTCCTATTTCTTATTGCTGTATAAGTGTGGTTTAAATAAATTACGACAAAAAAATTAAGTAACCTGATCAGGAAGTATGATCTTGAACTTGAATTCCGAATTGTTTTTGTGTTAATTTCTTTCACAGCAATTTGAGTTAAACAATGTAAGTAAAACTGTGCAGGAGGTGCTTCTTGCTTAGGGGCAGAAGCTAACAAATGATGCAGGTAAAGGCATTTAAAATTAATGGGAGACTATTTACAATAGTACTGAATAATATTCAAGCAGGAATTTAACTATTAAAATTCATAATTTATGCACGATGTATGTGAAGAGAAATACAACTCAGAAAATCCACCTTTTAACTGTGATGGTAGTAACCACTTACAAAAGGAAAAAGGACTAGACGGCATGGAAGGATGACAGGAGAAAAACCTTTTTCATATAGTGGTAAGTTAAGGCATGGAATGCATACTGCTTGGAAATATAGTGGACACCGGTCTCATTGAGACTTTGAAGAGGGCATTGGATAACTATTTGGATAGAAACGGTGAAAAGGCAGGAGATTGCACTAGGTAATTTTAGGCTGAATGGCCTCCTGTGCTGTGACAGTTCTGTGAAATAAATATACCCCAACTCAGTATAATTACTGCAAGCCCTGAGTCTTCCAGATACATTAGTGCAGGAGTTTTGGTTTTTAGTGTGGCTCAGGTGGTAATACTTCCACTTCTGAAAATTCTGTTCACAAGATTGCAGCATAACTTACAGATAAAAGGCCATTAAGTATGTGTTAATTCATCTAAGCATTGAGACTGGTTGCAGTATCCATTCACGTTATTTTTACTTCATTACAATATTTGAAACAAATCAATATTTGTGTTTTAAAAATGTCTGGCTGTCATTCCTAATTTTTTCCTTGTTAACAGCTTAACTCTGTGTTCTAATTTCACATTTGGATCAGAAATAGTTTTCTGGATTTAACTTTTCCAGACAAACTCTTGAGCAGAAGCTGAAAAGCCCAAAAAGTAGCCATTGGCTTCTTTTATACTTGCTATCCCACTTTCGGTTTTTGTTCACATGTTACTCCAACAACCAGTTATGGCTCAAAATTTGAGCACTGGTGAATAGCCATGTGGCTTTAGTCTGCACTACTACCAGCACTAAATGGCTTGTGGTGCATTTTTGTCCGGAACTGGACATGTAGCTCAGGTGGTCTTTTTAACAGAGTCTTGCTATAAATTTCTCTAACCTGTCACCAACAATACTGGGCATGGTTCAGCATTTTTATTAGCTTTGGTTGTTGCTGTGCATCAGCTGTTTTAGGCACTGGGTCTGTCAGGACTTTCAGTTTCGTTCTTGTCTGTTAACACTATTCATTAAATGCAAATCTTTTTCCCCCTGACCATTTCTGATCTACCTGCTTCCTCTCAACTGTGTCAGTTGTGTTTGTTTCATTGCCTGCTGATAACTTCTGGCTCTACTTCACCAACATCTCTCTTGACACCCACGATTGTGATATCATCTGACTGTATCCGATAGCCAGTGCTGGATGAACAAAAGTTTCTGCATTAAGTATGAGAAGGCCACATCTATTGCCTTTGGTCTCTGCTCCAAACTCTCTCCTATTGCTACTGACTCCATTCCTATCCCTGGGAACAGTCTGAGGCAGAACCAGCTTTTTTGCAGCCTTGCTGTCATATTTGATGTGAAATGAGCTTTCTTTTCAGTAGCATCACCTAAGACTGTGTCTATTTTCAAATTCATCTCATTCTGCTTCAACCTCATCCCTGTCTTTGTCACCTTTAGACTTGACTGTACCATTGGAGGAAATTGGCCTCCCTATATTCTTTGTGAATATGTCATCTAAAACTCTTCTGCCCTGTGCTTATTGATGTGGGAGTGGTATTATTTGACATTGACATTCACATTGCAGCTTTGTTTTGATCATGATCCCTCCATGAAATATTTAGTGCATAAGCCAGGTCATCCTTTCGAGCCTAATGATGTACACGTGTATTTTGAATCCTTATTTGGTCATGGGAACCAGGTCAACCTGATTCCATTCTACCATCCTCCTTGACCAATAACTCCCCCTTTTATTGATTGCACCAAAATCTTATCTGTCAGAATTGGAATGCGTACCCGATGGAATTTTGTTTTTAATAATTTAACCATTTTAAGATGTCAGATATGAACTTGAATATCAAGTTGTTAATTTTGCTTCTGTTAGTCATTAGGAAGGGCATATTGTTCTCGTGAGATAGCCGAAGTCATTTGGAATATTTACTATCTTGTTCTCAACTTTGTTTCAGTCTCGTTTTAATTTTTTTCATTTCTTTGCCTCTGACTGTTGAATTACTGAAATAACTTGTTTACTGGTACATTTTGCCACTGCTTTTTTTTTCTAGTTTAAAGTTCAAACCGTAAATCTTGCTAATAATCTACTGGCACTGCTGAGAAAATGAAACACTGTCAGAGGAGCCCACTTTTAGATAGTCATAGAGTTACACAGCATCAGTCTAAGGCCTTCCTATTTACCCATTCAGATGCCTTTTAAATGTTGTAATTGTACCTGTCTCACCACTTCCTCTGGCAGCTCATTCCATACGCACACCACCCTCTACGTGAAAAGGTTGCCCCTCAGATCCTTTTTAAATCTTTTCCTTCTCATCTTAAACCGATGTCCTCTAATTTTGAATTCGCCCACCCTAGGAAAAAGACCTTGGCTACTCACCCTGACTGTGCCCCTATGATTTTATAAACCTCTATAAGGTCACTCCTCAGCCTCCGATACTGCAGCCTCTCCCTGTAACTCAAATGATCCAATCGGGGCAATATCCTTGTAAATCTTTTGAGCACCCTCTCAAGTTTAACAACAATTTTGCTATAGAAGGGTGACCAGAATTGTATGCAGTATTTTAGAAGTGCCTCACCAATGTCCTATACAGCTGCAGCATGATGTCCCAACTCCTATACTTGATGTTCTGACCAATGAAGGCAAGCGTGCCAAACGCCGCCTTCACCATCCTGTCTACCTGGGACTCCATTTTCAAGGAACTGTGCATCTGCACACCTAGGTCTCTTTGTTCAGCAGCACTCCCCAGGGCTGTACCATTAGTTGCGTAAGCCCTGCCCTGGTTTGCCTTACCAAAATGTAACAGCTCACATTTATCTAAATTAAATTCCACTTGCCACTCCTTGGCCCAATGGCCCATCTGATCAACGTCCCAGTGTAATGTGAGATAATCTTCACTGTCTATACACCCCCGATTTTGGTGTCATCTGCAAAATTACTAACCATACCTCCTATATTTTTCACATCCAAATCATTTATATAAATGATGAAAAGCAGAGGACCCAGCACCGATCCTTGTGGTGCATCGCTGGCCACAGGCCACCACTCTGTCTCCGATCTACAAGCCAATCTTGTATCAATTGGCTAGCTCTCCCTGGATCAATTGGCTACTGGTCTACCATGCGGAACCTTGTCAAATGGTTTGCTGATGTCCATAAAGACAGTGTGTACCGCTCTGTATTCAACTTGTGTCACTTCTTCAAAAAATTTAATCAAGTTAGGAAGACATGATTTCCCATGCACAAAACCATGTTGACTATCTCTAATCAACCCTTGCCCTGCCAAATGCATCTACATCCTGTCTTTGAGAATTCCCTCCAAAAAATTACCACCACTGACATAAGGCACACTGGTCTATAGTTCGAATCAGAGATAGTAGGAACTGCAGATGCTGGAGAATCCGAGACAACAAGGTGCAGGGCTGGATGAACACAGCAGGCCAAGCAGCA